ATATTCATAACAATAAATGATGTAATAATGACGTCATATCACCTCTATATTTTCTTTATGTAATAATAAATCCACATAGTTACCCATTTCTTGATTCTGACTTGTGATCTCGATCATTACAAAAATCACAGTTGAAGGCTTTTGGTAACATCTTATATTAAGTGCCTTACAGTAAAAAAAACCTGTTGATTACGACCCAAGATCCTGTAGTTAATTACCAATAAACCTGATCAACAGGGCCTCATATGAATTAATTTATGAATCTTGGATAACGAACAAACGAAGCATGAGATTTTTTAATCTTTAATAAATGCTCTTGTAATTACTATTTTGTAAAATTCTCCTGCAGCTTGCCCGCCCAACAGATGGGGCCCTCCAGATTGCGAGGGTGTGTGCGACAAATGTTACAACGGCGGCGTCTGTGACGACAAATCGGGAATGTGCATATGTCCCAATGGCTTCATGGGACCCAACTGCCTTACAAGTAAGCAAAACATCAAGAAATTCGAAAAAGATTTGGCAACCACTTTTAATGGAATGGAAGCGAGAAGGGCCACATCGCCAGTCATGAGACGCAAGAGGAAGAAAACGGTCCTTTTATTTTGTTGCCATCACTTTGCGCGCTTAATCTATGCATTGGAATAGTCAGACAGTTAGTAATTTAAACTTAGGTGGAGGGAGGGGGGGGGGGGGACATATTTATTTTGTGTGTCCAACATCTGAAATAAATTGGTGATGGCTTGAATATGTGTATTTTTTGCCGTCACCTCCATCGTCAGGACCGACGAACTTCATGGTAAAATGTTCGTTCCTTTATCATGCCATTTAGTAGTTCCTTGTTGGTGTCATCTGACCAGGCTCGCCTGCACTAGCATTAGCTGAACGACGTTTATACTTGGGTGTAGCTTTGCATGTTTTTTGAAAATCAAAATAGAATTAGAGAAACATTATCCTCTCTTATAGTTTGCCGTCTAGGGGGTGGAAATCGCTTTGGCCTCAACTGCGAGTTCAGATGTTCGTACAAAAGCGACCTAAGCCAGCAGTGCCGCGGAGCTTTGTTTTGCCTTCCTGATCCCTTTGGATGCTCCTGTGATATCGGCTCGAAAGGTCTCACATGTATGGTTGGTGAGTTGAATTTGACAAGAATAGATAGATAGAAATGTGATACCCAAAGATTTCAAATGATTGACGAGCTCAAAATTTCCTTCATCCTTTTTTCCATACCATATGAAATTGTATGATGTATTTTTCTATCATCCAAAGAAGAATGCCAGAGCTGAATCAAAAGTCATATAACTAGGCTATTATCCTGTCATTGATATAAACTCGGTCAAGAAAATGAAAGTTTGTGATCACATTAACGCATTTTTCAAAAGAAAATAAGAAAATTAGTAAATTTATCCCACCGCTGCCGCACTTTTCTGTTTAAAGCTTGTTTCGACGGTGAGTTTGGAGCCGGGTGTACCGAACGATGTCACTGTGCTTCGGGGGAGTGCGGGATCTACACCGGGGAATGTCTGGGACTACAACTGGGATGTTCGCCTGGATGGTCTGGTGAAAACTGCCAAAGTAAGAATAGCCACCACTGTTTAAGGGTATCAAATTCACGGTTTCAGTTAGGTCATTTCATTTTCAAGAAGAAAAGTTTGATCATTATGACTCATAACCAGCTATACTATGGAACTTTTTTGTATGAGTCCCACAAGGGAAAAAGAAAAGAACAAAAAGTGGCCAATAAAAACAAGTGGTATTGATAGAGAGATCGTCACTCAGTTAGGCTGTAGTGTAAATTGAATCTTTTCCTAAGTAGGGTATTTTTGTATAACATTAAAAGTGGATGCATGTGCAAACACGTACATGTCGACCGATGAAATAAACATGATTGTCAAAGTTTTGGAAGTAGTTTCATGGGTTTCTGAGTTTCATGATTCAAGTTGATGTGTCGTTCGACTGGTCATGTATTTGACATTCAATTCTGCCAAACTTCTCATCTTGAAACAATCTTCCCCCTTTCCTCGGGTTTCAAGTTCCCGACGATTGTGATGCAGATTATTACGGTGAAGACTGCACTTTGAAGTGCCACTGTTTGAACGATGCACCGTGTCACAAAGCAACGGGGGCGTGCTCAAACCGACTGTGTGCCAGAAATTACGCCACCTACGACGGAACACCCGAGTGCCAAGGTAGGAAGCAGCCCGATGCTGCAATTAAACTCCTTAAAATCTCATTTCCTCTTCCGTTCACCCCCACTTTTTGATAGATTCTTTTTATTGTTTACGTTGGGGAAATAAGTTTTCCAAATGTCAACTTCTAATGGAAAAAACAATGTTTGCCCAGGACGAAAATGTCACTGTACATAAGCAAATAAACGCAGTGTTCTGTCACAAATCCTGCTTTTTTTAAATCGTAACTACATGATTGTTTTCAATAAAAGATATTAAACATTTTCAACACATTAACATCGTCTGAAAAAATGTCGCTTTTACGCGGTTCATAAATTTACCGCTTAATAAGCCACTTGAGTTAGTTTCCGTTTAATGCGAGGCTTCAAGCTTTCGCGTGTACAGACATAAAGGCCTCAATTCACAAAGGAGGTTTGTGTGCGTCATATGACGCGTTTTTACGCGTTTTAGACCAAGGTTTGTCTGAACCTTGGTCTGAAACGCATCGAAACGCGTCATATATGACGCCCATAAACCTAGGTTTGTCGACAAACCTCCTTTGTGAATACGTGAACCCTAATAGACTAAAGGCACAACCTTACCTTCCCAAAGGTTCGTTCAGATTTGAAGAGACAAAACCGCGGATTTTCGTTTGTCATGAAGACGTATAGTGTAAGACGCTTCATGTCTGTATCTTAAAACACAGAGCTTGAAGTAAATACGTGCAAGTCCTTTGATGCACGCAGTTGCCATTCATTTACACGAAGAAGAACAAAACACACGGTGGTTTTTTTTTAACCGGAGCGGTTTACCATGCCACATCTGAACAAGCCTTAAGAGAACATTTCTATTTTCATCTCACCCACATATAGCATGTAAAGGGTTATCTTACGGCTTCAACTGCTTTCACGAGTGTCACTGCGATAAAGATGCCTGTGATCTTAAGATGGGACGCTGCAATGGAAAGTGTCTGAAGAATTGGTTACCACCAGATTGTATACGAGGTAAGCACGATTTCAACACGAATTACCTGGGTTTAGGCTTTTGTTTTTTTGTATAACATCATGAGTGGCAAGAGTGGCCGTAGTTTCAATAACGGTGTTGCAGGTATACTATTATGACAATCTGAAAGAGTGGCGTCAATTTAACGGATATCGTGTAGGTTACAAAACTGTCAAGAACTGCATTAAAAACCTTAGATTGTTGTATTGTTTTGGTATTACCCTTGTCGCCTTTGAATTGGAATTTGGAAGGGTAACAGTCATCAATATCTGTTCATCGATATTGCTTCCCACCTTGGCATACACAAGGCATGAACAAAATGGACGTTCTTGCAGATTTTGCAGATCTGCCGAGAGCATCAAAGCTATCACTATCAGGGTCTTGCACAATGGACATGACCAAAGATGCAAAACTGCATTTATGGAAACGACATATTCAGCCAAATGCGCAGCCCATGATCATATCGACATTTTTATATACATTTTCAACCTCGATTAACAGGTGTGTCTCGACTCACCAGCAACCCTAAGGTGAACCCTGGCCAACCTTCCAACGTCACGTGCCACGCCGTTGGCAATCCGTCTCCACGTTTTGATACTGTCTACCTGACGAGTGACTTGGGCAAATCGAGCAGTAGCGGGAAGGGTATCGTGTCCCGGAGCGTGACGGTTACCGGGACGGTTACGGACCCGGAGACAATCTTTGTCTTCGACATAGCGGCAGTCGAGAAAAGAGAGTTGTTTTCATGTACACTGGCTGAGGACAGTCGGACCGCCATTTTGGCAGTGTGGTCAAGAACGTATGGTAAGGAAACACTGTTGTAAGTTAAGAAGTTGATTACAAATAAGGTTCCCTGCATGTGTAAACTTGAATTATGATTCATAGGAAGTAATTTATTCTTGAGAATACGAAGATACTCTAATTAGGTTGTATGTCTGATACCACCAAGTGAGACTTCTGATAAAAGTCTTCGTTTTTATTTCCAGAGTTACCCGTCATTTCCAAGCCACTTGAAGTTCTACACATCGGTACGCACGAGATCGCTGTTAGATGGGATGCATGGCGGCCTGGTGTAGATGAGGGAGAACCGCCACTAACCGAATACATAGTCGTTTACCACAACACAACATCCACCGGCGATTGGACGGAAGCGGTAAGCGTGGCTCCGGATCAGAACCTTACTGCGGTAGTTACCGGAATGCGGTCAGATACGACTTACGAGTTTGCCATAGCCGGAGTACGAGTCGGACCGGGTGGGATCGGCTTACCGGGTCCGGCTATTCGAGTGTCGACACATTGCGAGCGTAAGTAAACTCGATGAATCATTAAATAAACTTATTTAAATCCAAATTTTGCAAGAAGTATAAAGGAAAGGTTAGTCCAGAATCTTACTGTGTATACTTTACGTAGTCATTACCTACGATGACACATAGGTGTTTCAGAATAGACGAAATGCTTTAAAAGCTTCATTAATTTGTCAATAGTTCTGTAAACAAATCACATCTTATTCGCCAGGGACTGGAAAGGACATTTTCGTAGACTGTGCCTACTGTTCCTAAAGAATCACTAGAAAGCTATGAGTATCTCTTACGTTTTCTGTAGGTCCAAACGTCCGTTCTTTCGACTTGACGATAGTCTCGACTTCATCGCATCAGATTGAATTGTCATGGAAGGTTAGTCTTTTTATAATCGTCCCTTGGAAATACTGGAAGATTCTTTTATGAAAACAGAAGTCGCTGTCAACCCTAGTTTATAGAATATGTATAACTTGGGAGGAAAACAAGTATTAGTAGCTTTGAGCGCTTTTAATTGTATTGGTTAATATTTGTTACTTGAAATTAGTTATTCGTTGACCAGATTTTTTTGTTTGAGTCAGAAAATCAAATCGTTTTGTGAATTCTGTATAGAGATACAGTTATGTCGTTGATTATGTCCAACAATCTGATTAAAGCACATACCACTTTGGCAATACAAATTGAAACTCGATTAGTTTAGTTTTCCGGATTATGCAGGCAAAAGTTTTTTTTGAATAACATTGCAATTAATACTGAAAGTTTAATTTGTTGCAACAATGGATATGACTGAACAGTAAATTTCCTCATAAATAACTCATACCTTCGTCTAGAAACCACCAGTAAGCGAAGCCCGGTGTCAGAGTGGATTCCAAGCCTTCACTATCTCATACTCCAAAAGAGATTCTCCGGAAAACGAAACACAAGTCGCCGTCCCTTTCGATGCTCCACCGCGATATACCATCCCTGACCTTGAATTGTGCACTGAGTATGCCATCCACATGGCAGCATCGAACAAAGATTCAGACAGCGAGCTTAGCGACAAAGTTCACGCTAAAACAACAGATGAAGGTATACGAAATGGCATCTACATGCATACGGTCTAAAAGCGCTAGCTATTGAGCACGGAAACGTTATAATAGGTTTTGTTTATTTGTTATTCTCCTCCTTCTTCTTCTTTACCTTCTTCTTCTTCTTCTTCTTCTTCGTCTTCTTCTTCTAACACAGATACATCGGTTGTAAGATGACATTACTTTTGAATTTAGTGAAGCTTTAAAGGTTTTATTTGATAAACATCAAGAATGTACGATTTAATTAATAATGAGATATGAATGTGTTGGGAGTTTTCGCTGTCGATGTTTTTCCATTTTCATCAACCCCTTTCTAATAATGTTTCATATTCCCAGTGGTATCGGCTCCTAAAGACGTGAGAGTTACAGGTGTCACGCCCTCAACGGTAACCCTACAATGGTCCATCCTGAACTTTACCCAACCATGTCTGGACATCAGGGGTTACGAAATACTGTACAGAAGAACATATCCAAGACCAGAGAAAATGGGCAAAGTCATCGCTGTAGATTCCAATAAGAAGGAAATCGAGTACCCGATCAAAAACCTATGGCAAAAAACGAATTTCTCCATTCAGGTACGTCCATTGAGTCCAAAGAATCGTTCCTTAATAATAGTCGTATTTGTAAATCCCTTCATACTACGTTTCTCAGTACTTTACATTACCCCGGTCATCCCCAAATAATAGGGCATATACGTTCCGCTCCCTGGGGAGTATTCCAGCAGGGCGCCATCCTTTTTACGCCATCCTACTGGATGCCCATTTAACATCTGGGTGAACAGTGGCAAATGTAGATTAATTTCTTACCAAAGGACATTAGTACCGTTGCGGGATTCGAACCGCGAACCATGTGATCCAGAATCCGGCGACCTATCCAATAGACCACATCACCTCAAACACGCCAAGAAAAAGAAAATGACATGTCATGCAGCCATGCACAATAATTCAGAAAAAACAGCAAAGGTTTAGATTTAATATAAAGATCTCTGAGAAATTATTGAAAGAAAATCACCGTAATCTTCATTAATAACTACAGATTCATGAAATTTCATTAATCACTTTGGCAAATAATCATTAATTTTTTTCCTGGGGGGGGGGGGGGGGGGAGAGGCGGGGATAACATTATCCATGATTAGGAGATCTTCTTCCCATGAAAAATAAAAATATTTGTTGAGTCATGATCTTAAAAAAAAATTCAACTTTGAATTACCCAACGGTATCACCTCTACACCATTTAGAGCCTCCTATGGTTTAATTCCTCTCATCTAGGTTCGTGTTATAAACGAAGCAGGAAAAGGTCCATGGTCTCATGAAGTATCAGCTCAAACGTTGGTTCATCGACAACACCATCAAGAACAAAGTTAGTATTCTGATACAGATGTTTAAAAGTCATATATGCTCTTGTTAATGCATTTACATGAAGGTGTTGACGCATTGTAGGTAGTATTTGTTAATAATAATAATGATAATAATAATAGTTCGTCCTTATACGGTATAGCGCATTTCAGGACTGCAGGCCCTCTCAATGCGCTTTACAGATATATACAAGGCGTTTGTAGAATTTCCCTTGTGTTATAATTATTAGTTGCAATAAGTTTCGCACAAAATACTGCAGTAAATGTGTTTTTTTTTCTCAAAATGGTTGTGCAAGACTTCGAAACATGAAAGAAAAAAGAATGGAGATATTCACAAATCCGTAGGATTGACAAAATCTCACATGAGATACCGATGGGTAGATTGAGATGTTATGGTCATGTGGTCGGAGGGTGAGAAGAAAAAAAATTGGCTCCAGAAAACAAACAAATCCAGGTTGCTAATTTCCCATCCCCGTGGAAGACCTCGCCAAACCTGGAAGGAGATGCTAACAGATAATTATGAAATTTATGAGGGCATCTGATCTTATATCACCTAAGCGGATGCTGAAGACCGGAAGGCTTGGATAAGGTCCGTAAGGGTTTGAAACGTCCAACTCCACTGCGAGAGAAAAACGGACACTAAACGATGATGATGATGATTATTATTATTATGATGATGATGGTGGTGGTGATGAAAGAGAGAATCACAACCTGTCCGTAAAACTACTCTCGGATATGGAATTTCAAACTCCAGGGACAATCCTAAAGCAGTAGACCAGTGCTGTTCATACTACCCCTTATAGAGAGTAGGTGATTGTTGTAGATATTTGGGATATCCTAGAAGAAAGCCTGTCCCAGAATCGAATCATAATGTATACATCACTCAATTAGGCAAACAGTAACATCTCTTTTTAGCCTAGTATAATATGTGTCCAAAGTAATGTATTATTATGTATCATTATAACATAAAATATTATATAAACACAACCAAACTAATTTCATTCAAAAGGTTGGACTCTGTTTGCCCATATGTTAATATGCTTTTCTTACCCTCTGCAGGGCTAGTGGATACCCCGGATCAGATTGTTGATGAGATCCCAGCAAGCTCAAGCGATCAGAGAAAAACCCCGGGTCATCTTCCGGGAATTCTTACCGGGGTCGGCCTGGTACTGATCGCCCTCCTCATCGCCAGTGTCCTTGTTTATAGAAGGTAAGAGTACAATGGCGTAGCCAAGGGGAGAGGGGGCACTTCTAGTTTTGAATAGCGCACGTCTCTTTCTAATCATGACTATCCCTTCCTTTTAGAAATCCATGTCTCCGTTTTCATCAGTTTGTCAGTCTTGCATGAAAAACTAATAGATACAACAGACAGGTTTACTAACTTTTTCATTTTTTTCCTGGGGCCTTGTGACGAGGTATTCCATTAACCTGTAATATAACAATAATAAATGTTCGCGAGTGCATTAGTGAATATGCACTGCAAGCAGTGTAAGCCACAACAGGATAATGAACGAGGATCCTTTTTCGGGTTTATTGTCCGTCTCATTGTGACTTAAACAAGTGCAGTGCATATCACTAATGCACGAGCTAAAAACATGTATTATTTGTTTTATAAGATGGGTCTACAATATGAGTATAAAGTCGAGAATTGACAGTGGTTATCGTATATGCACTCCCCATGCATATGGGAAAATTAATGCATGCACACGTGATCCATTTCGACGCTTCTCATTGGCTACATTCTTGAACACATTTTATAATAATTAATGAACTGCAAAACTTAAAATCCAGTCCGTATACATTAGTTGTTGCTATGTCGGGAAAGTCTCGGGCAAGCCTCGAGCAAGCTTTCAGATTGTCAAGAACAGCTTTCTATAAACAGTATATGCACACAATTTGAATATGTTAGTGAACTGGTCTATTGAAAGAAATGTGGAGAAGGGTCGATTTCTTTGATTAAATGAACATTTTCAGTGTTAAAGAGTAATTTTACAATATTGCTTATGTTCTCTTTATTTTCACTTTGCAGACGAAGGAGGAAGATTCAGACAGTCGAGCCCGTTGATTCTTTTAAAAGTTTGGATGTGCAGGAATAAATAAAAGCGGAACAAGATGTTGGAACACTGTTTCTCTGTGATTAAACATTGTTTATGACTATTCGAAAGTGCGCGCGAGGCTGATTGAAAATATCCTACGCCGACGCTTGGAAACACTTACTCTGAACATTGAAATTAGGAGCACATGACACCATGGAAATAATGTAACTTTTGAAAGTTGAAAATGTGAGCTTCCATAATTCATAATATTTCTGCAGCGATTGTTGTTCATGACTGTCACAAAAATAAACGAGCCCATAGGGGTCTGCAGCCCCATGGAAATTTTTACATCAGCAATAATCGGGAAATAATCACGTCATGTTTAAACTTCTAACTCCATGGCCAATTCGTAGTTAATTAAATATCTTAGCGAGTATTTTTGTGACGGCATCATGAATTATCAATAGTCTTATTTGCTCGCTTAGCTTTTTCGCAATGATTTACATGTACCGTAATGTGTCGTGCAACGCCCACGGACTAGCCGAGTTGTTGAGACGTAGCACCAACACTTCAAGATGCCTTGAGAGATGCCTTCGCCAATATCTCGTATTACTATTAGTAACCTGCCACCTCTATCCAATCATGAACGACATAATCATAACGTCAGAAACAAATATTGACGTTGTTCAGGCAAGGATGTTTCATGGTCTATGGCCTTAGAGCCTTACGTGGAGACTATATATAGCTACATGCTGCAACACTTCAAACAGTTGCCTGTAATCGTCAAGACCTTGCATTTCAATGCTGTCATCTTAACTAGATATGCTGTTATCTGATCAAAATGGTGGACAATCATTATTTTAAGTTGGTAGTAGCAGTAGAAGTAGTATAGTAGTAGAAGAAGTAGTATATAGTAGTAGTAGTAGTAGTAGTAGTAGTAGTTGTAGACTTTATTGGATAACTTACTGTTAAGCACAAGGCTAATCTGCCAAAAGGTCAATTTAGTTGGACATGACTGCTATGTCGGTGACTGGTGGGGTCTTTGACAATCCATGTGAGAGTGTAAGAGAGACAACGTACAAAAACGTACATGCAAAATTGAATTAATTTATTGGCGTATGGGCGACATGCCTTCACAGGCTTGTACAGCGCAGGTAAAAATGCAATCGACATTACGCCGAGTGTGCAAACGCATGGTTAGAAGTTACAAGAGCCTGAAACTTATGAACAAAGGCTAAGACTTAGCAGGTGACAACGACTCAAGCGCCATCGTGTTGCATCTAAAGCACCATCAACTGGACTCAATATTACTTATCATACTGTATAATACATTTATATGTAACTGACGTAGCCATTTAGAATCGTATTGTATTCCCAGGCAACTAGTATTCAATAAAGGCCTATATATACTTAAAAGGTATAGTTGAGTTTTGTTGCACAGAGCGCTACACAAAATCGTGTTTGTGTAGTTAGATAATGAAAAACTGAGTGTCAAGTTTGAAAGAACATGCAATTTAAATCATCTTTGTTTGATCAAAATCAGTTCAGAGACGGCTGAATTATCCATAAAAATAACGATTTCTAATATTTGTGGTGATTTGATAATTTTAACAAGCCGTTGAAAAAAATGAGATAGCGCCTTATACGTTTTATTCCAGTCGATGTTGCAGATGTTAGCTTTTTCGTGTTGGTCGCCATACGCACAACCAGCCGACCCGTGTATTGTTATTATTAATTAATTAATTAACGGTCACCGTACTTTTTTGAACGTGGAGCTGAATTGGTATGATCGTATTGGATAAAGTTCACAGATTTGGGGGTCTACAATTACCTTCATAGCAACTTTAGGTCCGTAAAGAGCACCAGAAATGTCATAAATAAGAATAAGAGCAATAACCATGCACTTTGAAGGTATTTGCGGTCTCAAACAAGAACTTAACGATCCCTTAAACTGATCTAACTTAAGCTCTTAGATTATTTCTGATGTACAAAACCATTTCACATCGACAGAAAACCTAGACCAGAAAAACAAATCAGATTCAAATACATTTTTCATATTGAATGAGTATGATTTAAGAAAATCTGCAACATATTTAAAATTTCTTCCTGATCTTCCATATATTCTTACTACAAATAGTATGATACTCATTCCCTGAGTATAAAGTTTGAACAAACTATGTTGTAATATATAACCACAACTTAAAAATTTACCATGGTAATCCTCATTCCGTAAAAGGGGAAACCGTATGTACTGTCATGATCTTTTAAGATAAAAATAGTAATCAAATGAATATTTCCTTCTTATTAAATACGCTTTGAAAGCTACCAACTGTCAAATTAGGAACGAAATTTCTTTCGTACATAATTAATGTTTGGAATAGGACAATGCGAACAAGAATTGTTAACATTTGTTATTTCACTATTCAACTTGAAGCTCTAATCTTTGCTGGTTGTTTTAAATCAATCATAAGTTTCCACCCTGCCAAGGATTGATCCTTTTTGAGAAATTGAAGGGTAACAAAAGTATATTTAAATAAAATATACTTATCTTGAAATGTATTTTCACTTTTTTTCCGAGTCGTAATGTAAAGTTCGTTCAGTAGATAATGACACAGAGACATTACATTATGTTTCAGTTACATATACTTTATTTCACTATAAAAAGTTAAAATATATCAATATTGGAGACAAAAGTCATAAAATTGCTGTCATACCGCTATATAAGTTTTATTTACAAATATAGAAAATAACATATTTCCATTGAGCTGTAACAGTTAAATGGGCCTCATTTCGTTGCAGCCAAATCTATATTTTTCCCACTGTACTTTGAGAAAGCACTATTTACCATTCATTTATTATCTTAGGAAAAAAAAAATCAAATAGCGTTTCTCATCATCTTTGAATACAAGAAATGCAATGTTTGAACCGTAGTGTACAAATGAGTCTATTGTCTGGAAATCAAGTGATCTCTTGGACAAGGGTTAACGAAGGGGGTTCCCCAGGGTGATACCAATCTGGATTTAATCACTTAAAGGGAAAGTCCACCCCCAAAATAAGTTTGTTTCGATAGAGGCAGAATAATAAGAAAATCGTTTTTTAAAGGTTCGTTCAGATATGACGCGGTATACCGCCATAAAAAAAGAAGCCACCGCGTTTTTTAAATGTGTAAATGGATGGCAACTGTGCGCAAGAAAAGTCTCTCATGTCCTAATTTTGTATCATTATATGTCATCATTAAAATTAAAGGGTAACAAAAATTTAAAAAACACCGCGATTTAGCCTTATTCTACATGTATGTCTATGAAAAGGACATCTTCTACACAAAGTTTATACGCCCTCATGGTTAAATAATCCTGATAATGCATCTTATTCTAGCATATATATACGAACAAATATTTCAGAATCTTAATAACTAATGTACAAGTAAAAATAGTATCTCAATATTTGTCATAAATATATTCATCCTCTCATAGCTCAGATGTTAACAGACAAGTCAATGACAGCATTAGATATACATTAGAAAATACAGAAGGAGAATAGCCAATTGCACCAAATAACTTCGAAGTTGATAAAAGAACACTGTGTAATATAAAGGTTTACCAAATTAAATTAACAATAATAAGAGAAAATTTCCCCTTTTCTACTGTATTTTCGTCATCACTGACGGGTAGCCCTATATCCTTGAAGGTTTTAAGTGAGATATAAAAAGAGCATTATATTTATTTTAATACGACATTCAATTGCATCACCATTCTTTAAATCATGTCATAGTAAAAATAGCAGGGATGTAATTTCTAAATAATTTTGATTTTGACTGATTTACATAATACAATTTAAATCAAGGCAAACTAAGTCGGAAATCTATGTCATGTATTTCTAATTCAATCTAAGATTTATATATATATTACTAGCCAGACTTTATAAGTAGTCCTTGTAATTTCCGCGTAAATTGCGTATACGATATCAATATATTCTAATAATCATTATCAAAGGCATAAAAACAAGTAGTACTGCTGTATCACAAGATAATATTCGTGAGGGAATAAGTAATATATATATTTATATAAAGAGAGAGAAAGACAGAGAGAGAGAGAGAGAGAGAGAGACACGGATAGGAAGATGGACAAATACAATGATAAGCAAGAGAGATAGGACACCGAAGAAGAAAATAAAAAATATATTTAACATACGAGAAATATATGCTGTGAGATAGTGCGCTGTCATGTCTATAGGACTATAATTAGGGTGATCACACTTCCTGTGCACACAGTCTGCTCCGTGCACATACACACACACAACAGCAGTCAGTTGGTAGAAATAGCAATTTTCGTAAATTTATTTTAAAAAAACTGAACAATATTTTTAAATTTTTATTTCACATATCTTTCAAGCATACCTTTAACTACAATTCTGTGTAGTTTCATTGTAATAGGCATGTGGTAAATATGTTAAATTATTAATTAGAATATTGTCTTTTCAGCCATGTGTGACATGGCCCGCTGATCGCCCATTGACTGTTATTCTGCGTGGTGAAAGTGCACTTCAATGTATAAAACTCCCCTACAAAAATGCAATATCCTCATGTGTTTCACTCAATGAAACAATTTGTTATTTACACTCAAGGTAGCCACAACTGTACTGGGGTCACCAAATTTTCTTTTTCTCTTAAATCCAGTCCCTGTAAAATGTTATGGCCTGTTGAATTGAATGGTTTCTCGGAAAATCGTCATAAATCCTCAAATCTGACATTTTTTAAAAAGAAACTATACTGTGATGTAGCTGACAGTCTGCAGATTCTTATCATTTGTCCGGTTTTTTGAATAATTTGTGAAACTTATGAGGAAATAGCTGTAACGATGATCCAAGTAATTTCCATCGCCATATTTTATTGGCATTGCAAAAATATTTGGAATTTAATGTTAATATTTGGTGTAAATATGATCTATAAATATGTGATTTAAAAAAATGCCAACAAAATGAACAGTTTGACTTTCCTATATATATAATCAGCTGAAATGACCTAATTTGCATATTTGATGAATATTCATAATTTTTTTTTTCTTCAACAAAAATAAGTTTCCATACCTGTCTGATATACATAGGTTTCATTGATGTATCATGTTCGGTTTTGATTTGATTACATATGCGCATATTAATTAGACAGACTTAGTAATTTTCACAACTTTTTCATAGCTGCAGATTCGCAAAAATGGCAAAAATGACTTATTTTGTTTGCTTCTGTTTTCAAAACGGTAATAGATATATGAATTTTCTTTTTCGTATTTTTTTTACCACAAAGTTGATATTTTAGTGTCTGATAATTTAATTTATTATTTGTGTCCAAGAAAGTGATGGATTAAGTTGTTAACTTTGTCGAATTTTGCCATTTTTGCCAATTTGACCATTTCTGGCAGGTTTTTCGGTAATTTTGCGATATCAAAAAATGGTATAAAATCACAACGCATTGACCGATTTCAATTCTGTTTTTTGTTTTTTGAAGCTTTCATAAAGCTTGATCATTTGCAATCATCAAATAATATGTGTTTGTTGTACTTATTTTTAGTGTGCTATACCTACTATAATCGCGATCCACATCACTCTGCTATTTTGAGGGGGAACGTGGTTGATTTATAATTTATAATAATCTATACAAAGTCATGATAATATCTGAGGTTAAAGCAACCATAGATAAAATAGATCGTGTGCAAAGGAACGAAGCAAAAACACAATTGAAAACCATCCTATGGCATAGATTGAAATTACATGCGATTTAAGCTATGAGCATATCGAGTGTTGAAATAATGAGTTCTCTATTTGGTTTGTTAAAAAGCTTTATTCTGAATGGTTGTTGGTTGAACGAGGTCAACAATTTTCAAACTACCGGCTTTATTCTAATGAGTTGCCGAGCAAATAAGATACAATCAAATATCACTCCATATGTTCTTCATTTTGACTGGTTGTTGGGCGAATATGATGCAATCAATCACCAGTAATTATGTTCTTCATTCTGACTGGTTGTTGGGCGAATAAGATGAAATCAATCACCAGTAATTATGTTCTTCATTCTGACTGGTCATTGGGCGAATAAGATGTAATCAATCACCAGTCATTATGTTCTTCATTCTGACTGGTTGTTTGGCGACTAAGATGCAATCAATCACCAGTCATTATGATATTCATTCTGACTGGTTGTTGGGCAAATAAGATGCAATCAATCACCAGTCATTATGTTCTTCATTCTGACTGGTCATTGGGCGAATAAGATGCAATCAATCACCAGTCATTATGCTCTTCATTCTGACTGGTTGTTGGGCGAATAAGATGCAGCCAATCACCAGTCATTATGTTCTTCATTCTGACTGGTTGTTGGGCGAATAAGATGCAATCAATCACCAGTCATTATGTTCTTCATTCTGACTGGTTGTTGGGTGAATAAGATGCAATCAATCACCGGTCATTATGAGCTTCATTCTGACTGGTTGTTGGGCGAATAAGATGCAATCAATCACCAGTCATTATGTTCTTCATTCTGACTGGTTGTTGGGCGAATAAGATGCAATCAATCACCAGTCATTATGTTCTTCATTCTGACTGGTTGTTGGGCGAATAAGATGCAATCAATCACCAGTCATTATGTTCTTCATTCTGACTGGTTGTTGGGCGAATAAGATGCAATCAATCACAAGTCGTTATGATCTCTATTCTGACTGGTTGTTGGACGACTAAGATGCTATCAATCGTATCGCGTTAAAAGCTCAGTACTTACTGTTTTCAGATCGGACCAATAACAAAAACGCAATAACTCGCAAGTTTATCTAAACATTGTTGGGCAATCATAATGCAGTCAAACGCTAGTCAGTATAAATGTTTATTCTTGCCTCTTCTTCGCCTAATAATATGCAATCAATTGCAGTTTATTGAAAGTCAATATCGATTAGTTGGATAAATAAAATATAATCAATCGCAAGCTCGGACCTAAATATCGGACATTTCAATGGATGGAACAATAACATCTCTTGTAGATGATTACTTTGAGATCACAACTCTAGTCATCATTAATGAATGCTTGGTTTTGATAGGCTTGTGCTGTCTTGGTCTCAATGTCCGTTTCACTGACGGTTTGTGTCCCACTGTCAACGTCCTCGCCAATATCGCCTTCGTCTTCTGTCTTGTCGTCTTCTTCCTTCTGTTTTAAGAACTCTTGGATGGTTTCGTAGCAGAATAGGTATTCCTCCTGTTGTCAAAACAAAGAAAATAAAGATTGATTCATTATCATGTATATGTCTTAATCTAATTATGTGTATCTCATACTGCATGTCGATTCTAAGTAAACAAATGAAAACAGGTAGATATAAACGCCACTTAAATCACCACCACCACTACCACCAAGAACCAATCCCATCACGATCATCACCACCACCATCACCATTATTATCAACATTACCACCACAGAAATCACTACTACTACAACCACTATCACCCATCATCATCACCTCTACCACACTACCACAACCGCCACCATTACCGCCACCACTACCCCTTTAACAACAACAACAACACCAACAAGAACAACAAGATCAAGAATAATGACAACAAAAACAAAAACAATATCATCAAGAACAACTAGAACAACAACAACAAAGCCAATGACAACAAAGCAAGAATAACAAGAACAAGAACAAAAGCATGCAAGAACAGCAACAAGAATAATAACACCACTACCACGCGCTACCATCATCACTAACTCCACCACCACCACCACCACCACCACCACTACCACCACCACCACCACCACCACCACCACCACCACCACCACCACCACCAACTACCTCACCAATCAGAACAGTTACAAACCTTTGTGGTGACCATTCTCATCCTATCTACCCGAAGAGTTTTGACCGTTTGGAAGACATCAACTGCGTTCTCTTCGGTGATCTGGTCCATGCATGCTTTGAGGGCGCAGAATACACCGCTACGACCAGCTCCATTCCTAACAAAATCAAAGTTAAAGGAGAGTTGAAATTTGTTTAATTATCTATTGTAACATAAACAAAACTCCGAAACTTACACTCTTCATCCCTTCAACCGTTTACAAACTCGTCCTCTCTCGGCCTGCCTCTCCATATCTGACAGGCCTTCTGATTGTACTTTCTCTACAAATATACGTATATATTTTCTTGCTTGAAAAATATAAATATTGTCAGTTTGTTAACCTGTTGGCGCATGTTTTTTTGTTCCCTAACCAGTGTTATTGTTCTTATATCTACTGTAAGGCTTAATCGAGCATGCAATCTTTTAAAGAACATTTCTGCAGAAAAAAGGCCTGTGTCAAATTTGGCACTTCGGGGCAGGAATCAAATCATTAGACCACAGAGTAAGAGTAGACTATGGGTGCGTTTAAGCTCAATTTTGAAGGCAGAATGAGCAGTAATCGCAGTTCCACGGTGTACTGTTTATGCTCACTTCTCTGGCTCCTCCAGGCAATTCTCTCTGGGTGGCCTTAATTGGCCTTGCAGCTGGGTTCGCAAACCTGCACTGTGCATGCTACGTAGACCCACTAGAAGTCAGTGCGTTGACCCCATTTTGTAAACGCACTTTTTTGTGAGTTTACGATCAGCGATCCTGATCGCCGTTTTTCAATGATTCTACAAAAGTGAGAAAGGACGCAACTGTGTTTTAAATTAAACGCGTATCAGATGCCTGATTCTGGCCAGAAAAAGTTGAGCATAAACACGCCCTTAGTCGAAATACGACGAGACAAATATGTGCAGCATTGGACGAATTAAAACTGGGCTCTTGGGGTCAAAAATAGCAGTTTATCCAATGAAGTAATGATACTTTAAGAATAAAATTTAAAGCCCCACTGCACTTATAGCTACTTGTGCCCTCTATATAGCAAACAATGCCTAATCGGTGACCGTTGGTCCCCCATTGGCTAACTTTTTAAATGTTAATTGAGAGCTGATTTGATGAGATAACCACCTTTAAGTGACCATGCAGGGAGGTCCAATCCCTCCTGGCCAAACTAGTGCAGATAGGCTTTTAACAAAAAATCCACGGGACTTACATGCAATGGACCAAAACTTTATAATGTGTTTCCTCTTCGGTGGATGCTGGTGACTGGTAAACAGCCTGGATCAGCTGTATTAGAAGTTTCTTGCTCTGGTCGTTCAGCATAGGGTTGTCTTCCGGCCAGCCAAGGAACTGGTATTGACGTATAACACGCACATTCTGTAGTATGAGGAACATCATGCAGTTATCGAATAATCGACCATTTACATTGATTGATATTTAAGACTGTGAAACATTATCAAAAACCTACACATTGCCATTCTTCTTGGTAACCAGGGCCAGTGGCGGATCCAGGGGTGGGGGGGGGGGGGGGGGGGGGGGGGGGCGGGGGGTCCGGCCCCCCCCCCCTTGAGAAAAAATCATGTAAAATCACGTGATTTTTACCTTTTTGGGGGTTGGGCCCCCCCCCCCCCCTGGCGCTCAAGGGGGGGGGGGGTGCAAATTGAAATTTTTTTGAGGATCAAAAAAAAAAAAAAATGTGCTCACTGTGCTCCCCCCCCCCCCCCCCCCCACTGAGCGAATTTTTGGCCGGCGCGTTTTTCAAATTTTCGGGAGCAAAACAAAAAAGAAAGTTGGGCCCCCTCCCCTAAGAAATCCTGGATCCGCGCCTGACCAGGGCCCCGTTGTACAAAACTTACCATTGATGGGAACTTTGCTATCAATGGTAACTACCATTGAAACCCTGATTTTGATTGGCTGTTGAGCCCTGTTACCATGGTAGTTGCCATTGATGGCAAAGTTACCATCAATAGTAAGCTTTGTGCAACGCCAGGGCCAAGAAAAAAGATGCGTCACTATATTTTGTCAAGCAATCATCTAAATAATGCCCCCCCCCCCGATTGGCACATACCGTTGGGGTCTACGTCTGCACTACGCCGTATTTACATTCTTAGTTTTACAGCAATTTTAAGATATTTTGTAATAATTGTGGCTCTTTCGTTCACTAAACATTAATTTCACGTCACGTTAAAGAGGTTATTTCATGCTGACGTATATCAAGAGCGGAACGGATCTCACAAACAAGAATGTTGTCCTTCCTGCACAGAAAAGTGACACAGCGACAGAAGGGTCATAGGGCATCAACCACGTGTGACCAGTGTTGAACTATTTAAAATAAAGTAAGGGCCATTTATTTTCTATCTTTCAATCTCTTCACCAATCACAATTTATTCAATTAGTCACCTGTGTTTCTGTGAGTTGAACTTGTAGCGTCCTGACAATCATTCCGATATTTTTCTCGACCGATGTCGTCGAGATGGTGAAAGGACCATACTGGACCGAACCCCCATCGGGCCAGTACTGGCCTGTCGTCTGCATGGTGAGGACAGAAATAACATGATGGTGATTCTTGATATAGGACTTCATATCACAATCACAGAAGATCGTTATAAGTGGTGGGAAGCGAAATTATGGCTATCAAGTGGCGATTGGTACAAATTTATCATATTTTGAATATGGCCAAGGAAATTATCTGTGTGTGCAGATTAATAGATAAAACATTTCCCACCTAAAACATGGTTAGGGTTTTACATTAAAATGAAGCCAAATTGGTTCGAATATAAAGCAAGGCCTCGCTTTTATGCCCACTTAACATTGGACAAGATATCAAGTTTTACGCGGACACGGATAACATTAGATGCAATAGGCCATGGTTATTAGGTAAGGCCTACTCCATTGTCTTCGTTATTAAGACAAACAGTTAACAAATAATTTTTTCATACCCTTGCCAAGTTTTCTAATTGTTTAAGTATGTGAAACTTGATTTGTGTTTCTTAAGAATGTGACATACTAAAGCTTACATCTAAACGTATTCAACAAAGGCCCCAATTCAACCAGACCGCCTTTCATTCTTGGGTTTACAAATTAAAAAAAGCAAAACATCAAATTTACAAGGGGTATGAATAATTCAGTTAAAAATTGTACTTGAATGCTCCCCAACTCATTAATGTTACCCCACTCATGAATTCACGTTTGTAGAACCTCTTGCTTTTCGGCGATCTATCATACTTGGAAATTTTGAGAGCGACTCCTAATATTACTAGCAGTTTCATTGAGATATTATCATGTTTTTTCCTTCTCCAAATAAAGCCTTAAAGGTATTACAAAGTTTTGGGAAATTTTGAAAAATGGGTGGATAGTGATTCTTTACAATTTTGATATATTTGGATGCCCCTGTGGTTGTATTAAAAACACCAGAAATTTTAGCTCCTAAAATACTTCTGCTTTCGAGAAAAATTGAATATAAAGATATACCGGTACTCCCGGTAAATTTTTATAAATTTCAAATAGCTCCTACGGCCGCGTACAATGGTAGCTGCGACCATGAAAATCTCAGAGTATGTAGTTGTGGTATATAATTTCCGAACGACAATAGCTAATCGGTCGATTTTAGTCAATAACCATTGTTTTATAGCTTAATTAATGTATTGACCTTGAGAGGGAGCTATTCAACATAAAATGTTTATTATTTACAATTTTATAACTTTAGAGTCGATTTCGACCGCGACAACGATCACTGAATATAGTAGGATCGTACTATGCTTCCAATATATTCATTTGAACCAAATTCATGACCCCATACCAAAACTTTGTATTACCTTTAAATCTATTTTTCTCAAAGCATAAAACAGTATAAGCAAATGTAACAAATGATAGATACATATATTTGACAAACAAAGGTACAATAAAAAACAATTCTAGTATTAAAATAAGTTTAAATATCAGTTTGAATATCATTATGTTATTAATAAAAACAAAACAAAAATTTAAGTTTAAGTGATGGTGGTGGTGGTTATTTTACCTGACTGCTAAGAAAGTATAAATGCTTGTTAGTAAGCGACCAGAGGACCGACGGCTTAAGGTCCTCTCCGAGGGACCAAATTTTAATGTTGCATAACACTATACATTTTGTAATGACAATAACTTACCGAGTCTGTTTTGTCTAGTTGGTTCAGCATGACAATAGTGGTAGGTTTGTAGTCATAGACCAGAGACCAGAAGTTTACCACCGTCTCTGGTAGTGGCATCTGAGTTACGATGTAGTACGGTGACGAATCATTGCCCATTGACTGAAATTATTGTGGTGAGGATAAAAAAGAGGAGATTTTATATTTCGATAATTCTATCTTTGATATCATGACAGGCTTATAGTGATGGTGTTTTCTCATTACCATCACTATAACATTCTTGTTGATACATCATGCTGAAATGAATGTATGAAACAAAGTAGTTACACCGGCAAAAAAATTTCTACACTGTCTTAAGGGAGTTTTAGTAGACTCCACGTGTCCAGGTAAATGCAAATGATGTGTCTCCGGTATGATTAATAATATTAAAATTTGATGTAATTCTTATTTAAATGTTATTAATTTAAAATATGCCATGAAATTAAATATAGGCATATACACAGTTTGAACAATTGATCCTCTGTCTATTCGACCTACTTGTAAACTGGCATAGTAATACTGGCAGGAGTGTCGTTGGGGAGAGAGAGAGTTTGATTTTGTAAAATGCCCATCAACATTTGGTAAAACGTTCGTCAAACTTGCAAGAACGCTGCACCTACCATCACTCATCCGAAATATTGTAGAGATGCGCATATTTGTTCAGAAGGATTTTTAAAAAAGCTCACGTCTTCAAATTGAAGCATCAGTATATGGAAACTGTAATAAAACAATAGAGCAGCTGTGATCTTACTTTGACAAAGCTTGCGTTGATGTAGTCTCCAAATGGTTCGTTTGAGTACCAGCTTTGAAGGATTGCACGGTTCCTTTCGACTGTCGAGAGGAAGAAGAATGGTATGCTCATGAAAACACTTTTAATATCGTCTGTAGGATCATGACATGAAACCGGTCGAGATTGTGTTTAAAGCAAGATAACCATTAATAACTAACGCGTGCTGATTTATCTCGGTGTGAAATTGTATACTTAACGCGAAGAGGAAAGTCAGGAGAGTTTAATGAGTATCCTTTTTACACACTAAACTATAATTTGATACGTAATTTAATTCAAATCGTGCATTTTCTCACGCATGGACAACAACAAAAATACATCATAAAACTCTGAAATTTAAATGTTTAGTTCCCAAAGCAGTCATTTATCTGAGATAATAAAAGAAAAAACTGAATTATATCAAGTGGTCTGTACAATGCTACATGTAGGATGACATTGTGTAGCACAATAATAGTTTAGAAACCTTTATCAATGCTTATTTATATTTATTTTAAAAAAAGGAATTACAATAAACGTTGCAAACTCTTGAACTTCTTCGTTCGGTTACTTAAAAACAACACCAACAAAAACAAAAACAACAGCAAGAACAACAAGAACAACAACATCTCTTGCTGTTGTTGTTGCTGTTGTTGTTGTTGTTGTTGTATAATACTTACTTGGTAGTACAGAGCTGTCTCTATTCTTCTTCTTACATTCAGCTTTGCTGCCCGTACGAATAGCAAGAGGAGACGGGTCTGGACTGATCTTGGATAATGTCTGAAATTATTTAATTTTTTTGAATGAGAAGAAAATAATTGATAATCTTAAAGGCATCATGGAATTATACATACAGGTCATGGATTTTGTAATAATTGTAAGTTCCTGTTAAGCCCCCCTACCCAATAAAACAATCTCACAAGATTTCAAAGAGAATATAACATCATCATATTTCAAAACAGACAATCATGAGCCTATTGCATAAACAGTTGCGGTCCTGGAAAACCCAACTTGACAAATTTTTGTCTTAAAAATCCGTGATTCTGATTGGTCGAAAGTCAAGTCGATGAATTTGATCGCAACTGTTTATACCAAGCCCCTGGTAATATCAAATGTCAGTTACAATAATTCCTGCATTGTAATTCAACTTCATTATCATCAAACCCTCTTCAGCTCGCGGAATATTTAAAGGTATAGACCTGTTTTGGAAACGCCCCCCTCTCAAAAAATGAAATGGAAGCTCTTATTACCAGTCATAGGAAAGAATATGTTTTGACTAATACGTGATGATACAAATTTTGCCGGGAAACCGCATACTAATTGATATTTGGTAAATTATCATATCTATCCGGCCTGGATAGATATCGCGTAGTCCCATATACATCTTTCTGTGTACAGTGCTTGTAACTTTACCTGGGCCAAATTTCATCCATGAATCTATAACATTTTATGGAATTTCCTCTCTACCAACCCTACCTTGAACTCCTGATCGAGTAGAGTCTGGCCTCCTTTTGGATCCTGCTTTGTCAGCTCCTGAAGTCGGACCTCAAACCCGTCGACCGGGATTCGAGTATCGTCACATACCAACGACTCCAGAACGGCTTCGTGGAGGAAGACATACTGCTCCTGTGTGTGTGCATGTAAGAAGGATCAAGTCAAGAATATTGCATGAGGTTTAATTGAGAAGTCAGAGCGAAACATCTATGAATTATAGAAAGCATGAATGGAGAGGACTATAACAAACTGTTTAAAAAAGCAAGGAAGTAACGAATTGTACCAAAAGAGAATGATAGAGAAAAAAAGTTGATTGAAAGTTGATTAAATAAAGTAACTGAGCGACAGATAATTTATTGTTATTGATAATGGAATAAAATTGTAATAAAACGAGCGAGGAATATAATGCAAAAAAGAAAGAGAGAAAGAGAGAGAGAGAGAAGGGAGGAGAGGAGAGAGTGGGAATGAGAGAGAGAGAGAGAGAGAAGGGGAGGGAGGGGAGGGAAGGAGAGAGAAAGGGAGTGAAGGAGAGAGGGAGGGAAATAGAGAGAGAGAAAGAGAAAGAGAGAAGGGGGAGAGAGAGTAGGTTTTTAATTGACTATATATAATTACTATTCTACTATTATTTTTTTTTAATCTGGAGAGAGCGCGATACTTACGTCTGTTTGAACCATGTTTTGTCTGCACTCTCGCATAGCCTGGACGAACCCGTGGACGTTCACCTTGCCGGTTCTCTTCGCTTGCTCCACCACGCTGTCCATAGCGATGAGGACACCGGAACGACCGATGCCGGCACTGATAATGATATCAGACAGATTTAGAGAAGAAAAAAGATGTTAGCACAAAGAGATTATCCTGCAGGACGATTTAGTACACAGAGGTATATATTTGTTCTCATTTGCTATGTTTTCTTTATATATACATGTTTTTGAATGCTTTATTATATGATTGTATGTTTGATGTAAACTTGCATTTAAGTCTTTGGACTTTTTGACAAGTCTTGAACAAAACCTCATTTGAATTGAATTGAAAGAAGGAAGGGGGTGGTTGGCCTAGGATGGAAGTTTTCCTACGGGGACTATTGTGTCCTATAGGGAGCACTCCAGGAGCAGGTCTGGACCCGGTTTCATAAAACTTGTTCTCATCGACAACTGTTACATTTCTAAAAGAAATTTTCTTTCAGCCAATCAAATGCAATGATTTCAATAGCTTCCAACAGTTCATGCAACCTGTTTTTGATAACAAGTTGCATGAAACATGCCATGGCCCTGGTATATATAGAGTTGGCCTGACACTAAAGCGTATTTTGTGCAGGCTTGAGTTAAAATTGATCTTACCCGGTTATTATAATATCTTTAGGACTCCTTGGACTGCATAACAATTTTGCTTTTAATTAGTTCTTAGATCTTATCATAGATGCTGTCAGGAATGGCGTCATAGTATTTTTTAAACAGTATATTGCTGAAAAGCAAAACAAAAAGGGGGTACTTTGGTGGCAAGCAAAATAAAGAGTACTTTGAAGACGAAGGAAACGAAAACGAAAAAAAGCAACAACCCCAAAACAAACGAAAATTTGTCTTTTTGTGGAGGTCCGTGCCAAATTATATCCTGCCTCACCCTGCATCCCAAAGACGACGTTGGCAAAACTGCCAGGGGATTAGACCTCCCTGCAAGGTCACTGACAGGTGGTTATGTCATCAAATCAGCTCTCAGTTAACATTTAAAAAAGGGGATCATGGGGGACCAACAGGCACCGATTGGGCATTGTTTGCTGTATAGAGGGGCAAGTAGCTATAAGTAGTGCAGTGGGGCTTTAATCTAAACGAACCTGCAATGGACAAGAAGAGGAGCCGAGTCGTCTGCTAGGTAAGTCTTCTTCACCTCTCTCATGTACCTCAAGAAGAGAGAGGTTTGTTTAGGAACCGATTTGTCTGGCCACTTGGTGAATTGGAAGTGAGTTAGTTTTCTCTTGTCTTCTGAGGCCTATGTAAGAGATAGTAAATGAGAGAAGATAAAGAATGATGATTTTCAGTAATTGTCAGCTGTGTTCCGGTAAAATTTGATAACAGCTAGCGTAGCACTAGACGAAGATCAATGTTTTATTAGCACAAGAATTTAAAAGAAGTTAACCCATTCTTATTAAAGAGGTTGAGTTCTGGGAAGAGGTGAAAATTAATTTGTGAGCGTTATCATTGTTATTATGCAAGTGTGGAAGAATATCAGATAAAACATGTTCCCTGATAAGCATGGCTTTTCAAATGCCTTCATATTCTAAATATGGCATGTAACAGCATAAAAATTGGGACGGATTGTTATTCCACATTACATTTAAAGAAAAAGAACATTTATTTCAAGTCGTTAAAACCTTGAATCTCGATATCAAGGGCAGCGTGCGAAGATTCGTATTCATACAAGTTTAGGACCTATTACAAGCGTAAAAACAGAATCGGGATCATTGTTCAATTTAAATTCGATCAACTATGCTTTAGAAGACATACCTTAAAAATGATGAATTCCCTGAGTACTCCGAAGTCTCTCTCCTCTGTGCTCTTAGCCTCGACGTGTATCTCGCCATATGTCTCATCAGCGCCCGAATCTGGCCAATAGCACTCGCATTTGGTCTGTTGCAAGAAAATAGAAGAAATAAAACGATATAGGTCTTTCCATGTTTTTATTGAAAACTGTGCTTCTTACCGCAACTCCAACGGCTTTCGTTTTGCGCGTGTACTGTAGGTACATTTCTCAAATGTTGAGAGTGGGTCAGATTCGCTATAAGCTAGCTTCATGTCGCTAAATAATAATATTGGATAACCAAAGTATCTAGAGCAAACGTATCTAAATAATGAGAACCTGAATTCAAAGCCAAATTAGTGTGCTAAATTTCCCCTGTCTTGTAACACCCCACCCCCAAACAAAGCTGGGAATATAGAAACGATAGGAAGTTAAAAAAAATCATCAATAAAACTGTAATAAACGAGTACAGTCTAAAAAGGGGAGTATACATAAGTTAATCTTTGCTTGGGTGTGGGAGAGAGAGAGAGAGAGAGAGAGAGAGGGGGAGGGGGGGGCAAATAAAAGAGAAAATAAAGAAAAATAAAGAAGGACTGCAATGGTTGAATATAAATTATCATGAAAGCCACGGTTTAGAAAGACTTAGAAAGACATCATTCTCTATACAATGTGCCAATACTTGTTATCGGCATTTCAAAGCTGAATATCAAATATCAAATTAATAAGATCTGAATTCATTCGTCGGTAAACATGAGACTCACTTTAAGGACTTCTTCTAGCTTGGTTACCATGGAAACCACTCTGATCTTTTCCTGCCATATCATCCTCCAGAAATCATCCACAGTATTCTTCTTTGGACCTTTGTGAGAAATAGTAGGGAGAACAAACTTATGATCAGGGTCTTAGGGGAGATACAAATATTGATGTACGAGTGTTTACTTTTTTCCTTATTTTTTTTTTATAAATTCAATACATATTTACATTTATAACTCAATAAATAAGTGGAACATAACATAGGCTAAAAATTAAAGTATATTCTTCAATTCTTCTAGCTTAGTATTGTTTTCTTTGCTTTAACACATTCATATCTTAAAAATAATCCTAACAAAGTATGTGGTTAATAAACAGGACCCTTAACAATCTTCTTAACGTAACATTTATAAATTGCATATTGTGCATAATTTAAAATAATGTTCAGGGGAGAATATTTCTTTTTTCCAATGTCCTTACCTACAACTAATATCTTTTGGTATATTTGTATTTCTTTTTGGAATAGGTTAAAAACCAAGTTACATATTATTTTCCAAAACAAAGTCACATCCTTGCAATATAATATAAAGTGAAAAGTGTACGAGCGTTTTCGTTGATCACAAATGTTTTAGACTTTAAAAAAACATAATGGCCGTCACAACTCCCTCATTACCCCTCCCCCAATCATAATGGCCACCTGTTATCAACGTACATACCGTCCCCCTCCCCCAAACAAAAATTGTTTTGAGCATAACATTTTCGTCGACGTTTGGAAAGGCCTTGATGACGTGTTTAAAAAGTTAATGTTGCATCACTGATTATTTCCTCTATTGATCAGAAAAATGAATTGGTCTTCGGCGATTCTATGTATCGTTTCCGAAATAAGGTAGACATAGAATCATATAGAATGATATCAACATACATTCTTACAATTCCCTCTTCTTATATTGACAAGTAGAATTTCTTTAACATAATCACTTTGGAGGCAAAATGTGTTCAAACATTAAAGTTATCATTCCTTTATTGCAAAACAAAAGGTTGGATTTAAAATACAAATAAAAAATAAAAGGAGATATATAACAATGGTAAAGCTACAGTCCCATATACGTCCCGGACCGTCCCGGACCATCCCGGACCCCATCCGGGGTGATCCGGGATTCGGTCCGTGTTGACACCGTGTTGGCACCGGGGTGGTCCTGGATGGTCCTGGATGGTCCTGGATGGTCCTGGATGGTCCTGGGCGGTCCGGGAGTCGACCCCGGATGTTTTTGACGGTCAAAAACTGCCGGGGTGGTCCGGGACGGTCCGGGACAATAGTTTGATCCGGGGTGATCCGTGTAGCCACCGTGCTGGGTCCGGGGTCATCCGTAGTGGCGCCGGGGCGGTCCGTGTTGATCCGTGGCAGTCCGGGAGTGAGTTATTGACCCCGGATCACCCCGGCGCCCCTACGGATGATCCCGGACCCAGCACGTTGGCGACACGGATCACCCTGGACCATCCCGGACCCCATCCGGGATGGTCCGGTGTCATCCGTGTTGGCACCGTGTTGGCACCGGGGTGGTCCGGGACGGTCCGTGGCGGCTCCGTGCTGGGTCTGGAATGATCTGTACTGCTGCCGGGGCTATGCCCGGACGGTCCGGGGCGGTCCGTATAGTGGTACCGTGTTGGGTCCGGGGAGACGGTCGGCGGTTGCGATTTTTTGAACAAAACATACCGGACCATCCCGGATCACCCCAGACCATGGTCCGGGATGGTCCGGAGTGGTCCGTGCTCGTCCGTGCTGGTCCGGCTTTATATGGGACTGGGGCTTAAACGAGTATGATACATAAATAAATGAGTGAGGTCGCTTCAATCGAATTATCACACAATCTCCAATACATCATGTAAATCAATGTTAGCACAATTTTGTGTTGAACTTACCTTGAGAAGCGATGTACGCCTTTTCTCTCGTAAAGCTCTGCATAGTTGAAAGAAGTGTGAGAAGGAAGAGAGAGAGAGAGAGAGAGAGAGAGAGAGAGAAAGAAAGAGAAAGAGAGAGAGATGGGGGAGAGGAAGGGAAGGACAAAGAAAATTGGAGAATGAGAGAGAGAGAGAGAGAGAGAGGGAGATAGATGAAGGAAGGATGAGAGAACAAAACATTAGAATGACAGATTAAACATGTAACAGTTGAAAAAAAAAATGTTATTTTTAATAATCACCAATATAATAATTACCACTACCTGCAGCACTACTCTATTACTCCTCGTCATTGTCCTCGTCATCATCATCATCATCTTTCTCCTCGTCATCATTCCTAAAACTCGTGTAAGCCGATGCCCTTCAAAATAAGAACTAATGGGACTACTGGATCGGCATCCTTTAGAAGATTCCGGTCTTAAAGCCTATCTGCACTAGTTTGGCAAGGAGGGATTACACCTCCCTGCATGGCCACTGACTGGTGGTTATCTCGTCAAATCAGCCCTCAATTATTTAAGAAAAAGGGGACCATGGGGGACCAACGATCACCGATTAGGCATTGTTTTCTATATAGAGGGCGCAAGTAGCTATAAATAGTGCAGATGGGCTCAACTAGTATCCCAAATTGATACCTATTTTGCTGTAGGCAGTATACTCACGTCTATGTAAGATGCATTGATGTAGTCGGAATACGGATCATCATCGATGACTTCTAGTACAACACGTGAATTATTATCTATTGATATGAAACGAGTGAGAAAAAAAATTGAAACTTAAATGAAACATGGACATTTTGAATCAGCTGACTGATGGCGTATAATATACCAATGGTACCATATTCAAATGATTTAATAAAACATTTTTTTTCATATTCATTCCTATTCACGAAACTTGTTAATTGTTGTATGATTTAGTATCTTTAGTTATTTATTTATGTAAAGTCACGTGGATTGGAAAAGAAGACCTTTGGGTCATAGTTATTTACTTAATCTTTTTCTTTTACTGGCATCCATGGAACTCTCTAGAAACCTCACTGTTTACTTGATTTTGTCTTTGCGAAATAAATTCACAATGACAATAATGATAATAATAATAATAACAATAATAACAGTAATAATGATAGTAATAACAATAATGATAACAGTAATAATAATAATAAATTTATAAAAAAAATCATAAGAGAGAGAGAGAGAGAGAGAGAGAGAGAAAGGCAAACAGAGAGAGAGAGAGAGAGAGAGAGCAAGAGAGAGAGAGAGAGCAATATATAGAAAGAGCGAGAGAAGGAGAGCAATATAGAGAAAGAGTGAGAGAAAGAAGAAGAAAGAGAGGGAGAGAGAGGGAGAGAGAGAAAGACAGACAAACAGATAGAAAGAGAGAGAGAGAGAGAGAGGAGAGAGAAAATGAGAGAGAGAGAGAGAGTGTCTGTGTAAAGGGCGATGCTTATATCCATGGTAACCCTTCCACCCTTACTCTGCCACTTACATGGAAGAATGTTTCGGTAGCGATTCTTTGGTTTGTTCTCTTCTAGTTTTGCATAGGTTACCTGTTCGGTATTCACCCCTGGGAGAGCCTGTACAAAGACAAAATTAAAGACGGAAATATTTGTTAAAACTGTCTTCATTCACTCATTAATAATTCCTACATAACTAATCTATTTAATTATTTATTTGTTTATTTATTTGTCTATTTAATTTATTTTTATTTTAGTTTATATGTATTTTATCATAACTTAGTCACAATTATAATTAATAACTGGCACATATTTGTAAAGCGAAGATCCTCCTCTTTTGATGCAACTCATATGATGCACGCATGAGCGATCTCAAACAATTTGAAAATAGGGTACCAAAAAGTCATCGTTGGTGGGCGGTATTTGAATTTCGAAGAGAAAATCACATTTACAGAAAGTTCATTTTCTGCCCTTTATTATGACACCTCAATCAAGAAAAATGAGCCAAGAATAACAAAGTTCTGTTTGTTTAAGATAAAGCGTGCATTTCTATAATTTGATTAAACGAATTCGTGTTTACTGGCTGCTTGCCGTAGCAACAACCAGAGTTGACAAAAGACTTAAATCCGTTTCGTTGACGATCAGCCGTGCATCAAGTCTTTCGTCTTCTTCATTAGTTATAATTGTGATTTAGTTATGATAAAGCATCGATAATTTTCAGTTTCGTTTTTTCTGGGACGCACTGTATATGTAAATTCAGTACCATATATATTATCTGATAAATAACAACAAAAACATCAACGAAGGACCGATACAGTTTATATGTTTGCTGTATTAAACTGTTTCAAAATGTCTGAAGAAGACACAATAAATTGGTCAATTACGACCAAAGATAACACTAATTATTGCCCTTCCACGATCTATCCTTGGTCAGAATAACAAAATGTTGGTCATTTTAACCAAGATAAATTTACCACATATACCAGATCGAGGGCAAGTCCGAAAAAAGCAGAAAAAATAGAAACGAAATAGTGAAAGTTTGGGCAATATCCGATTAAAAATAGAAGAGTTATGAATTTTTAAATATGTTTTTCCAATTTGCACCGTTCAGAAAATGTCATAAAATTTCATTTTCTTAGTTATTAATGACGGAATAGATTTGTGTCATACAGGGGTTGTGTAAAAACATATTTGCAATAATTATATGAAGGGTGAATGTATGCTCACAGAGTTTCTTAAGATAAAATGTACATTTCAGAGCTTTTTTTAGAGGGCCAATGGGAGAGGGCCAATGGGAGAGGACCTCGCAAGATACGTCACAGAGTTGCCAATTTGTGTTTGATTGATCGCACCTTCGAAAAAATTATAATTTTTTTATTTTTCATCGGTTTTTGTTCAAACTTCCACTGACCTTATTTTTTCATTCTTCTGCTTCTATTAAAACCAACTCAATAGCAGCGTGGATTATAAATGCTCACTAGAGCTTTTATCAGACCAAATATAAAATTTTAAAAAAAACCACACATTTAATGTCACTTTATATTTTGAAAACTCTAGAATACTTCAATTCAATTTTCAATTTCAATTTATTCATGTTTCCAACAAAACATTACAAATCAATTATAAGCATTTAAAACAAATGTAAGAATTACATGTTGGAAACAGAGGGGTCCTCTAAAAAGCTATGCTTGTGTGAACACGTCCAATGATACTTTGTGATGTACAGAACAGCGAATAACCAAATACTTTGTACTTGCGCTTGATCGTAATTATGTTATTATCGTTATTTTATTCGTCAAATCAAAATAGAATAATTTGTTTATATTGCACAAAAGCTGACAGGGGATGAAAAAGTGAATCAAATAACTGTTGACTTTATTATTATCAATCATTTAGTCAGCTCTCATATTCTAATTTCCCCGTTTCCTCTACCTCCTTGCCATACATGATCATCTCTCTCTCTCTCTCTCTCTCTCTCTCCCTCTCTCTCTGTCTATCTGCCTCTATCTCTTTGTGTGACTGTCTCTCCCTCTCTCTCTCTCTCTCTCTCTCTCGCTGTCTATCTGTCTCTATCTCTCTCTGTAGGTGTCTCCCCTTCTCTCTCTATCTCTCTCTCTCTCTCTGTCTCTCTCTCTCTGTCTCTCTCTGTCTGTCTCCCAGCCTGCCTCTCTGTCTCTGTCTCCCTCTCTCTCTCTCTCTCTCTCTCTCTCTCTCTCTCTCTCTCTTTCTCTCTTTGTCTCCATCACAACAAAAGAAACCACAAGTAAACAGGCTTATTACACCATTCATTGTTTACATAGCAATCAAAATACCATCGTCGGATTGCACATGACCTGTTTGTCACTCCGTCCTTTCAAATACTACAGGTATTTTCCCCAATCTTTAAAAAAAAATATAAAAACACCCCCTCGATTTGTCCTCTTTGACTGCTTTACTGACCTCAAATTCCTCGATAAGCTCCAACGATTGCCTGTTTGTGTGAACGTACGTGGTGAACTCGTCCAGTGATATACCCGTCGGTTTGGACGTCAAAGTACTTTTCTCATAATTATGATAGTAGCTCAGCACCCTCTCTCCATTTGAATAGCCGTGCGGGGTCGAGCCTAAAATTTAAAAAAAATCAACAACAAAAAATCAATACAAAAAAAAAAAATCTTAAAATTAATATTGATAATGTACGATTAGGTTTTAAAGAAAGAGAGGAGGCACGATGGCTCAGTGGTAGAGCAGTGGGAGGTCCCGGGTTCAAAACCAAGTCAATGCGCTCGTGCCCTTTGGTAAGGCATTAATTTTCATTACCAAGTCCGTCGGAGAGAGGACTTAAAGCCATCGGTCTCCTGGTGGTTTATTTACGAACATAATACAAGTAATGCTTTATTAGCAGTCAGGCAAAAACTTATCATTTTATCAAACGAAAGTGTAACTTAGGTATTCTTATTTTTCTCTAAGTGTTTCTCAAATAGAACAATAATTAAGAAGAAGTAGTATATTACATTGCTAGTGATTTGGTTAATCATCAGTCAATCAAACGCTTGAACAACGTTAATGACGATCGATTATCAATAATTCAGTCAATAAGTTAATCCAACAATCCATCCATCCATCAATTTATCAATCAGTAATTATTAGTCAATCAATCTATCAATCAATCTATCAGCTAACTCAACATAATCATTGTTACATAGACAACTTTAATCAACCGATTAGTCAACTCCTGTACTGATTGATCCGAAAAGAAATCACATGTTCAAGGGATTAATTAATCATTTAGTGAGATAATTTATCATCCAAACAAGAACAAGTACAATGTACATCATTCCAATGATCCAACAACTAGGTACACTGTATGGCTCTACAGAAAATCATTTAAAGATAAAGATCAGTTCTGGTCATGCGATTGCAATGTGAAAGAAACATTGTGGAATCGATCAGAAAAGGTTGATCATCTAGCATACAAGTATTGGTGTGTACTGCAAGGTTCTGGAATCATAAAAATGATAATGAATTTGGCCCAGTCGTGGCAAAGTTACAAGCACTGCACACAGAAAGATGTATATTGGACTACGCGACACGTGCGCGATATCTATCAGGTCCAAATAGATATACTAATTTACCAAATGTATCAATTAGTAGGCGGCTTGTCGGCAAAATTTGTATCTTCACGTATAAAATTGGTCAAAACATATTCTTTCACATGCATGATTGCTAATAAGAGCTTCCATTTCAGTTTTTGAGAGGGGCGCGTTTCCAAAACTGGTCTTTACCTTTAAAAGATATAGCCCATGGTTATATCGTCAAGAAATCTCGGGTTCTTTAATCAAGCGCATGTGGTTCTATTCAACGTATCGCTGCTATCTATCTATTTTTATATAACAACGTTGGTTTATGTATTGATCACTGTCTGTAAGCTAAGCGAGGTCACCGAGATCATTATGTGAGCAAATTTAATATGACAAAAAACACGAAGCTCTACCACGAATAAAAGGAATGGAATATAATGTATTCGGTTAGGGTATTTTAGTTAGAATATAACCGAAGGTTGAAAATTCCGAAGATGAAATGATTATAATAGAGATTATGATTATGATGATGATAATATGATAGTGATGATGATATTGATAATAATATAATTTAAAAAAAAAAAAAAAAAAAAAAAATAATAATAATAGTAATAACAATGATAATAATGATAATTATATCAATAATTGTTATAATAATGATAATGATAGTGATGAAAATAACAGTACCATTAGCTATGAAAATGATAATGATAATAATAATAATAACAACAATAGTAATAACAATAATTATAATAATGATGATAATAATAATAGGATTTCCCGGCGAGATTCGCGAGTTGTGTCATTCGAATTCATTTACTTTGCATTTAAATTAGCGCAGATCGGCTTTGCCATGCCAATTATCATTCAATTTTCCCGTTTTGGTATTCAGTTTAGAATCTTGGTCAAAGTGTTTCATAGATCTGTCATTTAATTTAGAAACTGCTCAACTAGCATTCAATTTAATCGTCACTTGTCGAGGCGTCATTTTTATCATTCAAATTAACACCTGTCATTCGTATTCGAATTATGTTTATTCAAGTTAGGAATGTTAGGGGGAAGGAATACAACCCACGTTTACATTTTAAAAAATGCAATTAAATGCATGATTTGCCATCAGGGTCTTTTCTGTTATTCCATTTATTAATTTTGAGGTTAATGCATATGGGTGTAGTCAGACATTAGGTATAAGAAGGGGTGAAATCAAGGGATATGGCATTTCTGCACGGACATGTTCATATACCCCGGAAAAGTGAGGACACAAAAATACCTACCCCAGCCACAATATTGTACCATTCCTACATAATGAAATTGTGATAAATTTATGATGAAACACAAGACAAACAACTTCCATACATCACAATTTACAAAAATATTGAGACCATCAAGTCCGTAGATGTAAGTCGTTTTTTTTCCTTCTTAACAATCAAACTTAAAGGATGATGAATATCAGATAAATCTAAAAGTATACAAATTGTGTATTGTGTATAAATGCAAACAAATAAAATATGGTGAAATTCACATGGAAAAACAATCTTGAAAGAAAAAGAATTTACTATATTAAGTGTGTAATAAACGAGAAATGTATATTGACCATCAATTTAAGTGCACAAAGTGCTAATTTGAATGCTACAAATGAATTCGAATGCTAAAAGTACACCTTCGCGATGTCAGAAATCGTGTTGCGCCAAATCGAATGACCAAATAGCGAACCCCGGCCGCGTCATACCAAAAGACGTTAAAAGCTGGAAGTTGTTGCTACCTTGTTTGGCGTTCAACAATAAGGGATAGAGCAACGTCGATCTGGCGCTGCTCAGTGGCTGCCGGGCTCACGATCAATTGGGCAAAAAAGAATTTCCGTTTCGGTTTAATAAAATTTGGAGTGGACTATTAGGCTATTATTATTATTATTATTATTATTATTATTATTCATTAATTTGAATGAAACATAGTACATAGATTCTAACGAAAATTTCATAGATTTGAAAACTAGAAAAAGGAATATAAACCCAAGACATATCTGACAGCACTACAACCGTCGAATTTGAACGCAAAACAAATTAATTTAAATGACAAACTCGTGAATTTGGCCGGAAAATCCTATAATAATATTTTGCGCCATCTATATTATATGTAGAACATTATTCTGAGGCGCACGATCATTGTCAAACATATTTTAATTAGGTTGACAAGATCAGTTGCAGGACTGTTTCGCATCTTGGGTCATGTATATTGTTCCTGTTTTTGTATATAATTATACCTATACCTTGGAAATATACCTTGGAAGTAGGCATTTAAAGTTAAAAACTTATTTGCCTCTCGTTGACATTCGGATGAAGAATCCATATTTTGGCACATGTTTAGTGGCGCTGTACAGCAATTGACGAACATGGAAAAGCGAAGGACTCCTCTAGGTTAAATTGATTTTTTTCTTGACGACCAAAATTTCAACAAATTGGATTTAAAGCTGTTTAGTGATGTGCTCTCCACAACTACAGAGGAGAGGTTGTTCCATTCATTGATACATCTCTGTGAAAATGATCCATGTCTAAGCTTCGAGTAGACTTTCTTCTTAACGATCTTGTATCGATGGCCACGGGTTCTATTATCAGTTGGATAATCAAAGTTTATGTTTGTTTGTTTATTTTTCCAAGAAATTACACAATGTCAAAATTAATCTCACCATTTCCATTGGGTATGGCCGCCTCTCCGTCGACGTGTGTCTTGGCCATGGTTAACTCTAATGCATTCGGGTCCTCCTCATTATTTCCCGCGATCAGATGTTGCTGCTTTTTCCTGAAGAATCAAAATGGTTCAAAAACGATGATGAAAATATAAATAAATATCCTATATTGAAGAGTTAAAGAGACTCCAAATGCTGTTTTTTCCTTACTGAATCCTATTAATGATATCAGTAATGTGTCACGTTGTTCGAATCATTAGACAGTGTATCGAATGTATATTCAATTATTTGAAGATGACAAGAGCGAATCCATATATATATATATATATATTTATATGTATACACTCATGATAAAATAAATGTTTGTTCTTATACATAATACTCTTTTTTTTTGCACACTAGTTAGAGGTTTGATTGGATTAGCCGTTACCCGTATGCTCTCTTTTATGTGTAAAATTAAGTTTGCGATTTGCATACTAACTGTGCATCTCTTTCAAACACAATGCCCACGGGTGGTAATAAAAAATGTTAAGGAAAACAGTTAATAAGTGGCAACTATTACGAATGACATTTTTCTGTAACCCGGTTAACAAAACAAATTTACCTTATAAGTATGTTTTTATCTTTCATGCATGACTATGCATGGCCTATCTATACATGGTCAACAAGTTTGTTGGATTTATTGAGGTGTCGTGGACGAGTGGATATGTCACCGGACTGTGGATCACAAGGTCCGCGGTTCAAGTCCCACCGCGGCACTAATGTCCTATGGCAAGACATTAATCTACATTTGCCACTCTCCACCCAGGTGTTAAATGGGTACCCGGTAGGATGCGAAAGCTAATGTGCTTAGATTAGCAAGTGTGCGCTTGTAAAAATGACGCCTGTCTGGAATGCTCCCCAGGGAGTGGAGAATGTGCATACATTTTGTGCGGGTAAGCCTTGAATCCGATGACCGGGGGTAATAGTAGATATATCTGTAAGGCGCTTTGATAGGGCCCTCCTGAAAAAGCGCCATATAAGAAATAGTTATTATAAGCTGTAAAACGTTCTACTTTATTCAATATAGTGATAACTGTTTTGAATGAATACATTTTATATCATTTATAGTTACTTAAAATGCATAGAAAAGGAGCGTTAACTCACGCTCTCTTCCACAGATGGAGAATCAAAACGACAATGATGCCGAATAAAATGATGATGACGATGACCGCGCATATCCCAAAGATAAGGTCGTTTGATGGTGGCAATTTTGGATTATCCGTGGTCGTAATCGGATTCGAAGGGCTCGTCATCGTCAAGTTCGTCGTTGACATGTGGAGTATTTGTAACGAGAAACGTAATCGGTGCACCTGTAAACAAAGATCGAAAGCAAGTTATAAATTAACTGTAATCCTCGCATTCGCATTCATTGGCTATATGTTTTCGGGGGGGGGGGGGGAGGGGTGAATACAACCAGTTCATGCACCTTTTAAAACCAATGTGGCATGTGCCTCTTTCAAATTTCCGACCAAAAGGCAAATTTTAAAATAATGTTTTTTATAGCTTTCCATTTTATATCATTAATGTAATGATTTTTCATTTATATATCTACTTCTTTTCTTTTGTTCGTATTCTTTGTCTACTAACTTTAGAGGTAAACACTTTAGAAGGTACATTCTTAGTTATATATGTGTGATACCAAATCATGAAAAGGAATATTGAATTAAATCTCATTTCCAATATTCATCTTGTAAATACATATTCGTATAAATGTAAATTCATACTTTTATCAATGCAAATATACCTTATTTGTGAATCATCATTTGCTCATAGACAGAATCGTGCCATGATACACAAGTATTGTGTGTATAGGATGTGTACATAACAGGTTGTGATTCACTTGACAAACATACATACATGAATAATAGAAACAGGACGGTTCAATTTAAGATATACCAGGGTTTCATGAACGTAATATTTTCTGTCAAAATAGTTTAAGATTTTTTTTTTAACACAGCATGGAGGGCCGCTCGAGGATTTTGTAGAGACGGGACAATTATGAAAGATCCCGGACAAGCAAAAAAAAGGTGTTTATTATCTGTTGGGGTTGTTGATTCACTAAAAAAGAGGAACATCAAAAGAAAAATAGAGATTATCATATTGTCAAGTGCCCTACCTGAGGTCGTTAGTTATGCCGTCTAGATTCTAATCAAAAGCAGACGTGGGTCCATTGTGGATTCCCAACTTGAACACGGAAGAAATGAGAATAATAGTGATGTACCTTTGATATTTAGCGATTGCAAAGTGCCATCAACATTGTCCACCTCCAATCCCCATGGGAAAGAATGTGACAATGCAATTGTGCATATAAAATATTGGCAGTGGCTACACCAAGGAAGAGTTGGGGTTCGGTTGGGGGCCAGCTAAAGTGAAACGGGTTAAACCCACTCTAATTAGTTCTCACAACCCCCCTCCCCCCCCCCACCTCCCACTGAGCGAAATATTGGCCGGCACGATTTTAATATTTCAGCACACTAAATTTCAAATTGATTTCAAATTTGGGCCCCCACCCCTAAGAAATCCTGGATCCACGCCTGCCTCCCCCCCCCCCCATCACCTCATCTAAAAATTAATCGTTCTAGTTTGGATGAATGTGGGAATGGAAAGGTCATTACAGGCGAACGAATGCAAAGAAAGTACAGTTTTGTTGTCTATGATGGCCAACAGCAAACTTCAGTTTGAATACAAATGATTTGGTGGGATTTTTTGGACGGCAGACCCCGCACCCTTCCTATTCATGCCATGGGGAATATTCTGTATGAATGCCTCAAGGGATCGAGAATAACAGGAACAATACAACTTGGAATGCAGAGAAGAAACATGAAATTTTAATGAATACCAGGTTTCATAATTATAGAAGCACCGACTTGTTTACCAGCCGTACATACATCCAAATTATGTTAGGCCAAATAACAAAAATATCGTGTTTCTCGTCCGGACTTTTAAAAATGGGAGGAGGCAGGGCATTACTATCTACTTTTTTTGGCTTTTTTTCGAAGATGGCTGCCATGCTAATTGTACCTGGCCAAGCCTATTCATTCATAGATATGAGTATACCGATGCAATGTATGACAAAACAAATGAATTGTATCACTTTAAACAAAACGTATATCACAGGCCTTTTTTTGTTGCTTTTTTTTCCTTCTGAATGGTAAATAGTAAAAAAACAAAAAAACAGCAAAAAAAACACAGGAAGCGGTGGATGAAAAACACTTCTTATTGTTAATTGGCCTAATCATCCAGTTTCAGGTGTTGATCCGTGATCAGATAGTCATATCGCAAGCACTGAGTGCTTGCGAATATTTTAGATGATAAACACCTGTATGGATGTATTCGTGCAAAGTTGACTCATATATGTTTGTTTTGGTTTAATTGAAATGCACACTGTTCTTGTTGGTAATGAAGGCATTAGGACTTTGATCAAGAACGTATTTTTCATCAAACAAATGGGTACTAACAGAATAATGTATCAAGCTGTTTTATGTGCAGAATATATTTTCAATTCACGCGTAGACCTGTGTGTATACGAGTGGTTCATGTAGCGTAATATGTAGTTCAGATTCAGATAGTTCAGATTCAGATAGTTCATAATCTACTCATCATACATCAAATTATTAATACCATTATCAAGTTTAGTAATCGTTTTTTAAGTATGTGAAAAATGTGTTGATTAATGTTTCGTGAGAATGTTAATGGTAATGATAATGGTAGGCCTAATGGTAATGGTTTTATTGAAAATTAATTTGCAGCTAGATAGCTGATTTGTAGAATATTATTGTATACATTGCGTAAATCCTAAAGCTTACATCTAAAAGTATTCAACAAAGGTCCTAATTCAACCAGACCACCTTTCATTCTTGAGTAACGCAAAACACACTCATAAAAAACCAACCCATCACATTTACAACGGGGATGAATAATTCAGCTGTTAACTATAAATGCATTTTGAATGCAACTGGAGCGTGTTATCCTTCAGATAGAAAATGCATGGCCTTAGCGGCATGCTACGATGTTTTTCTGTAAACAGTCTGTTATCTATTATTCTAAAAAAATGGTTCTCGGACAGATCGACTGCCATTCCCAGACATCTACCATCAACAACAATAATAAGAATTGGGTATTATGTATCCAGGCTAACAACATCATTATCTTCCTACCCCTTGCAGGGTACCCATTACCTGGGTGGAGAGTGACAAAAGTGGATTAATGTTTTGCTAAAAGCTAAACGTAAGTGCCGGGCTGGGATTTGTAAATGTGAAGTGTTTTGTCGAGTGAATGAACTACCACGACACATCCACACAGCTTATGTTTTAGGCTCATAATCAAATGAATCAATTCCACTGAAATTAATAAACAAGAATACTTCATTATATTTGTCTGAATCAACATGATCGGGGCTTAAAGGTATAGACCAGTTTTGGGAAACGCCCCCCTCTCAGAAAATGAAATGGAAGCTCTTATTACCAAACATGACTTTTGTGAAAGAATATGTTTTGACTAATACGTGATGACAAAAATTTTGCCGGGAAACCGCCTACTAATTGATATATTTGTATCCAGACTGGATAGATATCGGGTAGTCCCATATACATCTTTATGTATACAGTGCTTGTAACTTTACCAAGACTGGGCCAAATTTCTTATCATTTTGATGATACCAGAACCTTGCAGTACACACCAATACTTATATGCGAGATGATCAACCTTTTCTGATCGATTTCACAACGTTTCTTTCACAGTGCAATCGCATGACCAGAACTGGTCTATTCCTTCAATAAAACTATACGAAACGCAAGCTTATATGATTGTATCCGAGTCTTACATATAAAGTTTGTTGGACTTGCTGATTACGTAACAATAGACATTTGCTGAACATTGACTCATTATAGGCCTACGTCACTTTGAATGGTTTCATCCTTCCGCCTCGAAACCCATCTTAACGGTGATTAAACGAATTGTTTACAACTTATTGTCTTCCTGTGATCCGGAAATGATCGTGAGATTATAAGAGATCAGTTCCGATGTCCCAGTGGCCTTACGTAAATCTAGCATCAATGCTATTTGACCCTTTGTACAGCGTTTGGTTCTAATGATAATTTCAGTTGCGAGGATACAGGAGGCATCCATGCCTCTTATTGAATGGTGACAAAGAAGAAAAAGGAAGAGAAGGAGAGAGAGAGAGAGAGAGAGAGAGGGGGGGGGGGTCCTCGCCCCTTCCCCTCTCGTGTTTCATCTCCCCTATTTTAAAAAAATATTGTAAGACCGCCCCCATGACATCAATATGCCCCTCAACGACCCGACGCTATATACGCCATCCTATCCTAGCCACTGGTTGCATTTGACGTACTAATTCTGTGAACTTGGAAAGATCGCAGCTCCTCGTTTGGATGTTAACCATCATTATCTGTTGTCCCTAATCACGTGGATTATGTTTGACCTTTTACACTATTTTCATCTGGTCATGATTATATGGACATGTACACGTAATTATGTCCATCCGCATGTGTGTACGTGCTGTCCGGTGTCCATAACAGTTTAGGAGTAGTAGAAAAGAGGAGACTTAATTAAACAGAGATAGAAGATTAAGGAAGATGAAGGAGATGAAGGAGTAAACGAAAGAGAAGATGGATGAAATAAGAATGACTTCGAAGAGAATTATGTGTGAAAACATTGCCGTACAAGAAGATAAAAAATAGTAAAGTAGCAATAGTAATTACAACAGCACCAACACCAATGATAATCATGCTAATAGCAATGCTAATAGTAATCGTAATACGAAGAATAAGAAGATCAAGATCGAAGAAGAAGGAGACGAAGAAGAAGACAAAAAAGAGAAGAAGTCATATGACGAAAGAAAACAAAACATATCACAAATACGTGCACGAGGAATGCAAGAAAAACTAAATGTAAACCCGGAACTTTTCATAAACCTGACCTAGGATATACCAAACTTTAAACATGTGACCATTATTGTTTTTAAGATGAATAACGTTTCACACGAAACAGAATTGAACTGTGAACAGCAAAGACATCACGTATGCGGTATAATATTCTACAAGCAGTCATGTCCTCTGCTCCCCGAACATAAGGATGAATAACATTAGAAAACCTTATTATCGCCCGGGGTCCTAAACCTTACCTTTTAAACTCGAGTGACCGCTCCTTACTCCTACTCCTACTCCTAACCAAAGGGTCCAGATAGCTGGAAGAGAAATGCAGAAGGGAAGGGGTCCGCCGACATTGCTCGATCTTGAGTTATTCCGAAATACTGTGATGAATATATCCTTAGTTTAAAGGGAATTCCGTCCGCATCCTAACTTCAACCGATTTCAAAACTCCAATAAAGCTTCCTCCCACTTCCGCGAGAGTTGAATCCGTAAAAAACACAGTGTTTTGCGTTCGGACGTCTATAACGTTGCGGATCATAGGTCAAAACATATGTATAATGCTATGCAGTCCCTACGTTCTTTTGCTTCGGTCACTTTCGATCAAACTTCTTCCTCGAAAAGGGGTATCACTTTTTATCTTAATCACACCATTCCGATCCTCAATCATCTCTGATCGTAATCAAATCAACTCACTAATTTTAGCTAGAGATCCAGTCCCGCCTCGATTTAACCTCACCCAAATTCCCCGATATATCCGGCTATACGTCCAATGCGCATTTCCTACATATTCCAGAGCAATTCGGCACTGGTGTATATTTGCACATCGAGTGTACATAAAAAATACCTCCCATTGAACATAATGGAGTTGTGACGTGAAGGCTCTACAAAAAAAATATACCTATTGTTAAATTGCAGGACGGGGGCGAGGCCTCATTCTTTTGTTCGCACGGTATATGCCTCGCTTCACTTCAATGCCAATGCAAGGCAAGTCCTTTCAGACAGGACAGACATTTCCACAGCTAGAAACCATCATTGTGTAGTCTACCAATACAGACAGGACCGGTCATAAATAGTACGCGAGGCGGATGATGATCATGAAGTTGAGGGCCCGACTCCAGGCCCGACTGATGTTTAAGTTTATTTAGACCGGAGCATTCTGTCCAAAATGGACCATCCGTTGTTAATATCCATGTCATACCGCCGAGACCGACTCCAGACCGACAACACACTCAACCTACATTATTTAGAGTCGGGCTAGAGCGAATAGTACTTTTATTTTTTTAGGGGAAGGGGGTAATTTGTAAACGTATTCGATGGGACCTTTATCAATCAGAAATAGCTGGCACACGATCACACTTTCCAAAAATCAACTTTAGGGCAATTTCAATATAGCCTAAATGTATGTCCAAAAGAAATCATGTTCGGACCCGGGGGGGGGGGGGGGGGGGGGTACTCAGATTTGGTTTGGACGGGGGTGTGCCGCTGAATCCTCGAAGCCCCTACCCATTTATAAGGGTCATTTAGGGGGTCTCTTCTCGGAGTAAAGCCCATGCAAACACCCGAACATTTTGAAAGTTTTAAAAAACGGACCCATGTTTAGGGATATTTTTGTTAAAAATGGGACCCATGTTTAGGGATTTTTTTGTGAAAAAGTGACCCATTAGAGCGGCACACCCCCGTATCCCCCCATCCCCTGGTTAATATTATGTCCTTGTAGTGTTTGCAAATTTCAAAAGGTCACGTACAAGGCCATTGCAATTAAAAGTAGTTGCGATTGTATTATATTCACAAATGATCTACTAATGCTAATCACAAGGCCAATGAGAATGTAGAGAACACATATTTTAAAAATAAAAAGCTAGGCATAATAGCCTCATTCAAATATATTGTGCGGGGGCTCAAAAACGCACATAGAAACGACGAAGTATGACTATAAATATCTTGTCGAGTTAACTTCCGGGGCGCAAGATGAAAGACATATCCAGGACAGGATGAAGTCCCGCCCTCCCCCCCCCCCCCCCACTCCGGGGTCGGAATGACCGCATGCGTGTTACCAAAATGTCCGGTAAAGGGGTACTTTTCGTGCGACAAAGTCCGGCCCGAGAATTGTAAAAAAAGGGGTGTATTTGACATTTCACCCGGAGATTTCTTTAAAAAGGGGGTGTTTTTCTTTTTTTTCTCTCATCTCTTTGGACTCCTGAGAAATTATTCCGAATTTAGGGGGGTACATTGAGCATTTTTCCGTATTTAGGGGGGGGGGGGTCTCCAAGGCAGGAAAAGCCCGCGAAAAGCCCGCGATAGGGGGGGGGGGGGGTTCGGAAATGTTGGCAGTCCTCACATAGGGGGTGCTTTCAAAAAGTGGGAACGAGCATACGCGTACCCTAAATAACACTGAGTGGGGGGGGGGGGGGTGAAGTGCATGACGCCAAGGTCGTACCCGTAGGTCATCTTAATTTGGACGAAAATAAACCTTGGAAACGATGACGGACTTTGGCCAGTCGACTTCTTAGAGAAGATGAACGAGAAGTTGAGATCAGGGGCCAGTGACATTAAATTGACTTCAATCAATCGCAAAAACTCTACTGTATCTCCAATTTACCTGCTCTTAATGGTATCTATCTGTAATAATCGCAAATTACTCTTTGTTGTAAAGTTACGATTGATAGAAAAAGATACGATTGATTTGAAGGATATACGATTAAGTGTAACTTTCTATGATAGAAAGTTACAATTTGATGAAATTTTGAGGAAAAGTCAACCAAAATTCGTTCATTTGAAAAGATATACTGTTGTTACCAAAACCCCAATCGCGTTGTCTTCTCTCATCCCAAGATCTCGTCAGATCTTTGTGTCCGAGAAAATAAATTTGACGAGATGGGACGAGATTTTGAAATCTTGTATTTTGCCATTCGTGGCAATCAAGTCGATTAGACGAGATTATACAGAGAATTTCGAGATGAAGATGAGCTTCTGCACTTTTAGAGATCGCTGAATATTGTGGTTGAGATCTGTCCTCTGATCTGCTGTAATGCCGCCCCCTACGCTCTCATCAATGTATCTATTCATCAATTCACCATGTTCATCTATTATTCCATATTATAATCAATCTCACCATCATTTAATGTATTCTTTAAGCAATGATTCATTTTCACACGGATAAGAAATTAGCCCCAAAACACCATGCTGATATCATTTGTTTTAGATTTTACACCCTTCAAAATATCCAGGAAATCCCAGAAAAATGAAACCCGAAAATAGACAATTGTTGGAAGGAACTATGATTTTTAATGTGAGCTGTATAACAGTAATTTCTTGCTTTTCATAAAGCAGAAGTAATATTCAATTGTCTTGAAACTTCGATAAAATGAATCCACACACGCTTCACTGAGCAACATTGTTTTGAAAATGGCATGTCAAATTCTATTTGTCCAGTATTTGGTCGGTCGAGCTCTGAAAACGTTAGGATCACAAGGAAACATGACCGAGCCTAGAAACAACAGGGAGAGAGAGGAGCGAGAGAGAGAGAGAGAGAGAGAAGGAGAGAGGAGGAGGAGGGGGGGGGGTGGGAGGTGAATAGCAAGAACAAAAATTGTGATGGGAAGTTTGCTTACTCCCAATTGGCCAAAAGTGTTGAAGAATTGTGACGTAATATGCAAACTAAGTTCTTGATAGGTTGAAGGCAAATTTCACTATACCTATGCGGTGTAGACTAATGCTCAAAATTAGTGTTTTGTAGACTGTATCCTCTATTTTTGATGTTGTTTATCTAATATCTTATATTCTATACTAAGCTTAACAAAGTACCTTGTATTAGCATTTGTGACTTAATATTAAACTCTGATTCACTCTCATTGACTTCTCTTCATTTATCTCCATTACAATAATCTTCTTAACTCGCTCCCTTTGCTCCCCCTTTCCACTCTCTCTCTCTCTCTCCCCCCTCATATCCTTAGTTCTGGAAGAGGTGAATAAATGTTTCCTGAGCTTTATTATCCATTATATTGTTATTTGGAAAAGTATTGCATACCGGTAAGCAATATATGCTACGGTCACAAAGGTTCATACGAACGATAATTTCGTACGAATCTCCGTTTTTCCATTGTCTTCCCGAATTTCCATTGTCTGAAAATCGTTCGTATGGCGTTCGTATGGCGTTCGTACGGCGTTCGTAGCAGTTCGTAATGGCATTTGTGACCGAGGCTTTACACATGAAAAGGATTGCTTTTTGATATCCCCTAAGGTTCCAATACGATTAATGGTAGTAAGGATTAACAATTTTGGACCTTTGAAACTATAATGTATGTTTGGTCCTTCATTTGTTTGAAATAGTATTCATTCTGTAATTTTAAACAAGATGGTATTATATTCATTATGATTTGGATGATTTCAAACCGTCACGAAACACAAATTCACAATATTTTTTGTTACGAATCATATGTATATTCATATTTTAAAAATATGTCAATGTTGCGCACGCGCGGCCGAGTTGGGTTGGTGAATGGGAGGTAAATTAAAGCACCCAGTATGAGTAAAATGTTGTTATTTTCCTTGATTTTACTGTTATTTGATTTTCTTGTGTTACTGTGACGTGCTAGAGTTGATCATTTCAACAAATGATGTAGAAATCATTTTGTCATAACAACATTATTGACCATTCCCAATATCTAACATGTTTCTTTTACAATGCTACTGCATGATCAGAACTGTATCTTCTCTTTTATGTGTTTGGAACCAGACAGGCTTTTACACAGAGTTAACAACCTTTTGAGTCTAAACACACAATATGCCACCATGTTTACAATCGTATCATATGGTATGTTGTTACCATTTGAGCTGACCAACAAAAAAAACTACATGTACAAGTATTAATCTTTGAGTTTGAGTAGGAATAATCATTTATTATACACATCATGATGGCATGGTATCATGGTTCAGTGGTCCATTCACTTGACACTCAATCCCAGGGTTTAGGGTGAGAATCCCAGGCCGACACTAACATCCTTTGGCAATGCATTTATCCTCTTTTGCCTCTCTTCACCCAGGTAAACATGCATAACTGGACAATGCTGGGGGTACCGATAATAATAATTGTAGGGCCCTCAGGAAGAACAGCACTGGTGCTGATGAGGCTTCCCTGGATAAACAAAATCATAATTATTAACATTTTATAATTAAAAAAGGAGACATTACTTGATTTGGCAGTTTTAAACCAATGGTTGATTTGCAATAGTAAAAGCAAAGTAGGCTTAAAATCATAACTTTAATTCAATGTTTTATCTTACTTAGGTATATTTGGAGTGAGAAATTTATTCCACCACACCATCTACTGCAATTCTTATATTTGGATTTCAGAAGATTTCATTTAGAAGATTCACTGACTATTATAGTATGATTTATTTCCAAATAGATGTGAAATTAATAAATATCAAATGCATTCTACATGTACTTCATATACTGACAATTCAATCTAAAAGTATGTGAAATTTTCAACTAAAACCCCCATCTTCAGCCATAACTTTTCATGATGTACCGGTAAGTAAAATCCAAGTTCATTTGAAGGCATCACGTCAGTAATCATTTAACATTAGTAAATAAAATAAGAGGGGCAAGAATTTGTTTCCCTAAACCATTCACCATTGCTTTGGGTTAGTCCAAGAATACTATTATCCTTCAGTATTCTTAAGACATCTGCAGAAGATTATATATCTTATTCATTACTAATTTGCATCATTACAAGGAAAATACAGAAGTTTCAGTTTGGCAACTTCAATGAATGTCTGAATCACTGCTCCTCTTTCTTGATATTACAATCAGCTATACATGCACTTATACTCTAATGTTTCCCTGATCCTCAATCTCTCCTAAGATTTCATTATAAACCCAAAAAAGACATTTCTTTTACTAAATTCATGAAACATGACCACACAATGTGAGATGTATAATCATCAGAACAGGAGTTGGCCGTACACAATATTTCCTACATAAAATTGGAGCTGAATCATCACCAAACTGCGCCTGTGGAGAGATCCAAACTATGGATCATGTTATTGATGATTGACCTATCTACAAATCCCCTCACGGTGCTTCCGGACTTCGTGATCTCGATGATGAGACAATCAGTTGGCTTAATAAGGATCTTCCTATCTAGATGATGTACTCCTTGATATTCTTTGCACGAACGAACGAACGAACGAACGAACGGTGTGTTTGAAACAAAATTCTCCTACAACTAAAATTGATATTTTCAAGACTTGGGTTAAAAGTAGCAGTATTCCCATATTTTCCATATGGAAACTTTGTCAGACATAACTGGCAAATATAATTAAATGAACAAATAATTTCTGAAATTTGTTTACATGATAAAAGATTTTTTTACTATTCATCTCATTTAAAAGTGGAACAGAGTTCGACTGTTTTACAAAACCTCTTCTGCACTGTGAATAAAATAACATATACGGTGAAACATTGCTGTAGTATAAACTTTTATAACAAGATTCTACTGCATGATGTATGGAAGTTGAGCACTAAAAATGGAATAAACAAGAAGCTGTTAATGTTCATGTTCATGACTTTTAATCATCATGACTTCACAAGTCCTTCCTTAGCATCACCTTGCATCTTTCCTAGAGCGTTGGCATACTGGAAATCGTTACTGTTCTCATACTCGCACATGTCCAGGGCAATGATACAGCTCTCTCTCACTACCCTTGCCTCGTCCTTCACGTAGCCTTGGAGTGTCTCCAAGCACTTCTCGGCAGCGATGGAGCCGAGGGCTTCGGCACACTCGTGCCTGACCATGGGGTCTTCCGATACCTTGGCTAGTTGCTCCTGGAGCTGAGGGATGCTGGCCTCGTGCTGCATCTGTCCTAGGACGTAGGCTATCTCGTGACGGAAGAGGGCGCTGTCCGTGCACTTCAGTCCTGAAATATGAAGAAGAAAAAAGGGATTCCATTGGTCTATATCTACACATTGATAGTAGCAGTGTAGTAGTAGTGGTTATTTTACCTGACTGCTAAGAAAGCATAAATGTTTGTTAGTAATAGTAAGCAACTAGACGGCAGAAGGCTTTAGGTCCTCCCTGATGGACCTGGTAATAAGGATTAATACCTTACCAAAGAGCACTAGAGCATCGCCTTGGTTTCACACCCGGGTCACCGGATTACGAGACCACTGCTCTACCGACTGAGCTATCACGCCTCTCTGATGAACAATGCTTGTTAAGTGCCCTGTCTGTTGGCACTCCATCTACTTTAGTCCCTGGTGATTTGTAATGCATTTGCAATTGATATGCTGTCTTTGTCCGATTCTCTATCAATATTTCCAGTTGATATCATTTTTGTTACTGACTCTTCTCTTCTCACTTTGTGGCCTTGAAATGAAAAGATCTTTACATTGTTTAGACTGCCTAGATGATAACGAAGAAGAAGAACAACAACAACAAGAACAACAAGAACAACAACAACAACAACAACAACAAGAACAAGAACAAGAAGAACAAGAACAAGAAGAACAAGAACAAGAAGAACAAGAAGAACAAGAAGAAGAACAAGAAGAACAAGAACAAGAAGAAGAAGAACAAGAAGAACAAGAACAAGAAGAACAAGAAGAACAAGAATAAGAACAAGAAGAACAAGAAGAACAAGAAGAAGAACAAGAAGAAGAACAAGGAGAAGAACAAGAAGAAGAACAAGAAGAAGAACAAGAAGAAGAAGAAGTAGAAGAACAAGAAGAAGAAGAAGAAGACCACACCACTAACCTTCGGCTATGGCAAGAACAGACTCCTCTGTGTTGAGGTTCCTCAAGGCAAACATGGCCCTGTATCTTCCAAACAGAGGTTGCCCTTGGTCCAGGAGGATCTGTCTCAGTTCAGCCACACTGGTCTCTACAGCAGGGGGAGCAGGGTCTACGGAGCTGAACGGGTTCGGTCTTAGACGCGATGCTTCCTCTACCTTCTGCTGACTTGCCAGCCACTCGAGGCGCTGGAGTGCAAGCTGACAGGTTTCGGATATCTAAGACAAACACAAAATGTAAACAAAAATAATATAAAAATCATACAAAATTTAAAGAGAAGGTTGAGTTCTGGGAAGAGGTCAAAAGTAATTTGTGAGCGTTATCATTGTTATTATGCAAATGTGGTCCCTGAAAAGCATGGCTATTCAAATGCCTTAATATTCTAAATATGGTATCTAACAGCATAAAAAATGGAACAGATTTTTATGCCGCATATTCTTGTAGTCCCATATACGTATTTCTGTGTACAGTGCTAGTAACTTTTCCTAGAATGGGCCAAATTTGTTATCATTTTGATGTTTCCAGAACCTTCCAATACAGACCAATTACTTATATGCTTGATGATCAATCTTTTCTGATCGATTCCACACCGTTTCTTTCACAATGCAATCGCATGACTAGAACTCAACTTAATCTTAAGTCCAACTTAAAGGGATCCGGTAACTTTGTCATAGATTCTGTAATAAAATTCTGGATTTAGCTCATGAAGCAATGATAATTATAAACCTTTAGCTCAGTCAGAAACCCCATGACTTTTACAAGCCGATCGCCCGTCTGATTATCAAGATATTTATGATTGGAATTACAAATTTTGAAAACCGTTCGCCCGACGGTTTTCATAACACTACAGTCTATTGGGGAAAACGACTATTGGGGGTAAAACCAGTCACTCAAATTTTTTTACTTTTTTGAGGCACTTCTTAATCATTTTGAAGCGCAATTTTTTTAGGGCTTCAATATTACACCATATCACAGACACTGAAAACACATAGGGCCGTGTATCTCAGATTTAACATTGTTAAACGATCCCTTTAAAGTTGATCTTAGTCTTTGTGAAACACTCCCCAGAGCTAGTAACTCCCTTTGAGCCCTTTTTCCTTTACAAAGTGATCAAAATATTAATCTTACATATTTATGCAGAAGAGAACATACCGTACTTGTAAAATAATCCAAAGCCAAGTTTGCAAAAATGGATTTATATAACCAAACCCAGCACTGTGATATCGCATCCACAATACCATTTGGTTTTACCTTTACAGCAAAATACTGGAAGAATGCTGAGGCAGCAGTCGAGCTTCCAGGGCTATCTTCTTTTACTCTAGCTTAATACTTCTCATAATATACAAGTCAGGGAGGCAGAGGGGCAAGAGGTAGCATTTTGACTGATGTAAAGAAATTAACATGAGTATTGGGAGACAAAGTGCTGTTCCTTCCAGCAAAGATCAAGCCTGGGTTTGAAGGCGTCTATAGTGGGAACCTCAACGACTACTTCAGGCAGAGAGTTCCAGTCATCATCAATCCCTCTGTGACTAAATGGGTCCTTCCTTACATTTGTCCTACACCTCGGCTTTGCAAGCTTGAACCTATGCCCTCTCGTTGTTGTGTCTGCTAGTTTTAGTGAACAAATCAGATACGAGACCAAAAACAGAGTCCAAACTCTAATCCATCCCAGGAATTAATAAAGCACCAATATCTAGTTGCCTAATAAAAAACGCTGATGAGACTGAAAAACTACCCAAAATATCTGTTCATGATTCTAACTGGGAAAGACAAAAAAGCAGTGACTAATTGTAAGCAATCTGAAATAGGTACGGTATGTCTTTAATAAAGGGGATATTAAAAACTGGTGACAAGAGTGAAGGATTTGGGGAAGTGTAATGCTGATTCTGGACTAATTCTGCAAAATTTGGAAATGGGAGCTAACAGAGCATAAGGTCATGCACTGCCCTCACGTCTGGCACCTCTGTTCTTACCTCTTGGACAGGATGATGTTCGTACTTCTTCAGAACCTCAATAGAACTGGGTAGTCCTATTGCACCAAGAGCCTCTCCTGTGGACAGAAATCATATAACATCCCGTTCATTAGAGTGCCATAATATGTTTATACTTTTAGTGCAACATGAAAAGTTGAATATTAATCACTCTGTACTCTACAGCATTGAATGAAATGATGACCCCGCCCCCCTCCCCTTTACAGATCTTAAGTTAGTTGTGTTAAAGAAATACAAAGATCAGCAAGGCGACCCTTTGAGCGTGAAAGAGAAAAGCGCAAGAAAACTATTCTCCTCACTTTCAGAATGATTTAACAAATATCCTAACTCCTAACTTCACCAATGGGCCCAATGTACATAGCCATGGCATAGGGTCAATGAAATTGTCTTCAAGCAATTATTGCTTTTAACTTCTTAAGTGTATTAATTTTTTCACATATTTTGTGCCATTTACAAACATAGCTCAAGTCAAGTCTTAGATCCAGATACTAGTACCAAACTTTGCTAGACAAGTTCTGTTGAGTAAATGTAAAGCCAAGGAGTTGAAGGACAACGTACGTAACTATGTACTGTAAGGCACTAAGTACTAGTACATGTAAGTAAGGCCAAAACGGCAAAAGAAAAGGGTAGGCCTATGGTAGACTGAAAACTTCAGTCTCTCTAATCGTCGGTTGTTCCACTGAGACTACGTCTGGCTCCACTAGACCTCCGATTATAGAGACTGAAGTATGGCCTATCGGGACTGTACGGGACTGTACGAAACAAATGGTTCAGTTCGACCGGACCGCGATAAATGAGATATGCAAGGAGATTTTCACTCTTTACATCCTCATAACTGCTGCAATTATAATAAAAATTCTGTATAATGCGCTGTATGAGTGTTATCCAGCGCATTATACAGAAGCAGCACATTTACGAAGTGCCAGTCAGAGGTCATCACCATTGTGTAGAGATCGTGAATTCACACGGTACACGTGAAAAGGGAGCTGAGCTGTATCGGTCTGGTAAGAAAATTGCTTTTATTTTATTATTTTTACCTCCGATTTTTAAATTCAGGAGGTAATTAGGACTACAATTACAACAAAATTTATCAAACTCAAAGCCACTGTCCAATATTGGTCTGGTGCGGGAAAGTGTGATTTTGGACACATTTTGGTTGTTGTTTACCTACCTCTCCGTGGGACCCTATGGGTGCCGTTTAAGGCTCCCTCGAATACTATCATAAAAAACATTTCGAGGGAGCCCTTAAGGCTAGTTTTTCCCAATCCCGAAATATCTGAAAAAATAATAATCCTCCACTCTAGCCCAAATGCTGTACACACAATGTCACTGATTAGTGCAGCGCAGCGCTGCCGTAGCCCACATCCACACCGCAACTGAAAGCCAGAACAGGGGGGCTGTGATTGAAGCCTTGATGGGCTCTAGCCCCTGGCCCTGGTCGGCTGTTGTCGGCGGGCGCAGGGCTACCAATTCCATTCTACTCACCGGCTTCATGCCTGACAATTGTCTCCTGCGTATCATCTTCTAGTACACTTATCAGCAAAGGAATCGCTCTTTCATCTTGCATTTGTCCGAGACAGTAGGCACTTTCGTGTTTCAGCAATGCAGACGGATCAGAAAAAGACTTTCCAATGCAAGAAATCGCATTCTCTCCTCCCAAGTTACGCAACGTGAAAAGAGCACGGAATCTTTCGGCGAGTTGTTTGTTTTGATCATTCAGAATATCCCCTATTTTCCTCACTGATTCCACATCCCTATCCATCTTAACAGTTAAGAATGCAAAAATCAAGTAAAATCTGCCGAATTTATAAATGTATATAACGTTTATCAGCGAGGAAATTCCTAGATTGGAGTCACTGCACTGCACGTCCAGCTGAATATCGTGTTACATTGCGTAATTACAATTTCGTACACATGTTGCTTAAGCTGAAATAATCAACTAACTTTAAAAAAATGAAAAGGTAACGTGCAGTTATGCATTGCCTGTATAGTAATTCTTTAATGATTCGTCACTATAATAAAGATGATTGACTACCGGATATTTGGACGAGGATCGGTAACTGGCACGGGTGAAATAACGTTACATTTTCGCCTTAGTATCGTTTCCCGCCCCTCGTTCCCTTTGCAGAGTCTCCCGTTTGGTGGGGGGGGGGGGGGGGGGGGGGGGTCTCTCTGCTTGGTCGTAAAACCAGGGGGCGGGCCGCCGCGTCACAAAACTTGTCATTGAGTGACAAATGGCAGTTTTCATTTGTTATAAGCTACTGAAATCCTTGCTTCTGATTGGTTATCAGCAGATTTGTCACTGATGTTTGTCATTTGTCATTGAAAAAAAGGCTTTGTGAAACGGGTCCCATGATTGCAGCCCTACCCCCGGGGGAAAAAGATAATCGAAAACATAATTTCGTCGCGAAAATGTTTGATCTCCTACTCTGCCTTTATAAACTAATTTGTTAGTGGGGAGCCCTTATATAGTCTGCCCATTCCCCGCCGAAAGTGGCAGGCACAAATATCAAAACTAAAAATGCAATAATTTCCTATCAACCATTTTCAAAATTTAAACCCAAAAGGGCAAGGAGAATGTAATTTATTTGTTTGTGTAATTGAATTTGTTTTGTTTTGTACTGTTTGGCATGGCAGTCTGCAGTCCCCCCCCCCCCGTATATACTTGGAACCAGGGGTGTCGATTTGTTGGGGGGGGGGGGGGGGTGGGGGGTGATAGGTGCCAAAATATTTTCGGCAATGGATCAAAGCAACCAAGAGGTAGAAGCGTGTGGCAGGTTGCACCCCGCCCCCCCCCCCCACTCAGTGTTATTTAGGGTACGCATATGCGTGTTCCCTCGTTTTGAAAACACCCCCTAAGTCCGGTGTGTAAAGTCAATTTTGTGTATGTACGAGCCGGACTTTGGTGCATGAAACGTACCCCTTTACACGCATGCGGTCATTTCGACCCCGGAGTGGGGGGGGGGGGGGGGGTTGCACCCCTCCCTTCCAAGTTATTAACTTTTTCAAGTCACCCTAAATAAAGATAACATTTCAGAGAATAGAAGAGTGGTAATAAAATTAATCACATGCTCAATGTTAGTACTGACTCTGGCCTGCAGTGTAGGCCTACCAGACTGATATCATCTACTTTCGAAAGAAATTTAGACATGACCCCCAAAAAAATCTAATGGTGAGGGATATCAACTTGTGAAAGTATTATGCTACCATTATGCTCGGGGCGAATTAGCCCCCGAAATGCCCAAAAGAGCCCCCGACAGTGAAGAGCCCCCAAATTTTGCATAGAGTTCAATGCAAAACAAATTTAAAAATGTTATTTTCATGGAAGCAAGCTTGAAAAGTACCCCCCGAAATGTTTGAAGTAATTTTTTCCCTGCCAGGAAAGGTTCATGTAGACAGAAAATTCGTTATTTCCTGGTGATAGAAACATATATTTTATGAATATTGATGTCTCCAAACAACATTCATCGTGAAAAACCCATTCCATATAATAACCATCAACTACTGTCATCGGGCTCTCATCATTAATTTTTCTCTTCCTTCCCCCCCCCCCCCCCCCCCGGGATCGACACCCATGCTTGGAACTGTTTGGAATTTACACTCGGGGACTCGATTCGACGAGTAGTATGTTTAAATCATAATACATGTACAATACATTTCATAGTTTATACAAAAATAGGTAAGAGTCTGGATATTTGCCTCAATTAAACACTTTACATAAAACTAATGATACTCCTTTTCACTTGTTCTTTCTGCAAATCGAAATATTTTAATAATAGAACACTATAATCTGTGCATGATTATAGTGATATGTATTTACGAATAACACAAAATACTTTTAAATAGGCAGGATCACGAGGTAGATTAAAAACGTCTAGGATGATATGATAGAGGCATTTCATGGTGACAATGTTTTCTACCAATATGCGATGATCGAGAGCGCTAAATAGTAAATACCCGGGCTAAATATCAATTTCCTGTTCCTGATACTAGTATACAGAGCATGAGTGACGGCATGCAACAATCATGAACAATCTTCCTAGTTTTTTAACCAAGGAAGTGCAAAAGCTTATATAGATAGTGTGTAGTTTTGTTAGACATGTCTCGGAGGAAAACAAAAATGTATTATAGCCGTCTAGTCAGAACCTTATTTAAGCGGGTAGTCAGAATCCTGCATTGGAGTTCATTTGTCTAAACCTCAAAAATCTGTCGGCTTATGGCTGTTATCAATCTTAATATACATATTGTTGAAAACATTTACCCTCAGCGAGATAAAACCCATTCAGGCTTTTATTTTCTCTTTTTTGATAGAGAGGTTCCAGAGATCACTTCTTTTTGAACAACCTTCAAATTGGTAGCCCAATTTTTTTTTTGAGATTCCCATATTTACTGCTTGTTAAAATCGGCTGAATTTGGCGAACATACACAATCGCACATTCTTCCTACGGTGTCGTCAAAAAAAGAAGAAGAAGAAGGAAAACACGGGAGGGGGCACGGGATGGATAGTGCCCCAGTGAGGCCTTCCAAATTTGTAACATTCATACTACTAACGGGGCTAAATTGATTAAATATGAATAAGGTTCCCATTAAAGAATTGATCCCTCATTATGAAATTAGGGTTATTATCACGAGGATCCCGAATGCAATATCATAAAAGATAATCATGTTCACAATCTTCTTGTCCCAGAAAACAGTATAGGCTATATTTTTTTGTTTTGTTTAGCATTTTTCTCATGACATATGGACCCATCTAAAATGTTTTTATAGTGATATTTTTGAGAATAGAACAAATCGACACAAGCACATACAAATTTCGACAAGGGTCTACCAGTATGTATTGAAGGCATTTTTTTTTTTTTTTTTTTTTTTTTTTGGGGGGGGGGGGGGGCCATACCAGAAGTCTGTGTAAGAAGAATCCCCCATATGCTTATCTAATACGAATCTCTGCCAAGTCCTCATTAATGATTCTTTTTAATTATACAGCTATTATGAATCATACAAATTAATTTCATCTATAGTCAGGAAAATAATGTCCATTCCTAGACAGATACTAATATTGAATATCACTACCCAATACCATTGACATGTAGAATCTCTCCTTAATACGAGGCTGTATAAGGTGTGTAAATTGATATGCCATATGGTGTAGAGGTACACGGAAACGCCTTATACCATATATGTACACAAATATCCAATAATAATCTAGAACATTTAGGAGCATTAATACAAAACAAAAAGTACCATGACAGCGCTTTTAACACAAAATTACAGATTGTAAAGAGACACAAAAAATACATACCGTACTCACAGAATAGGTAAATCAGATTGTAACTGAAGGAAGAAGTATGATTTAGAGGATCTTTTGAAAGAGGCAAGACAGGTTATTGTGATTATTCACCGATGGAGAATGGGACCATGTTCCACATTTTTGAAGCAGCTACGGTAATACTAGGAATAACTAGGTTTGTATTTGTCAGTAGAAACAAAAGACGCCACATTCAAATGGATTGTGTTATACATAATAACCTTTTATTGCACTCAAATCAATTGTAGCTACTCTTCAAAGTAGCTTCCCATCCAACAACATATCTCTGGCTCAAGGCCCTTTACAATAATAATAATAAAAACAAAGTTTCAAATTACAAATGATGACATCTTGCAACAAGAATAACATAGCATTTCGCTCTTTTCGTACAATCAAAATGGGTGTTTTCCGGTCATGCGTTAGAATTATAAAGACAGGAGGAAAAAAACATATTAGCTACAATTGTTGCATTTCTTTACTGCTTGCTTTTTAACTGAATTTTTTAAAGAAACAAATGAGAGCTTTGTGGCATTAACAAGAATTTTAAACATAATTACAGTAGTATACCACAGCACTACAGTACATGACATTTAGTATAATCTACTACACTGTTTGTTAGCTTTGCAAATTTTGTATGAAACTTTCATGTGGCATATCCTTTGTGCTACAACAAAGCTATTTTCATGTAAATAGAAAACCAAGTGCAGGTACAAAGAATTGTATCATAAAGAATTATCCTACCTTTTGCTCAAATTCGCAGGGCAAAATGCAGTTTTGACTCATTCCTTGCTTGTTCATGCATGGTACTATTAGCAAAACTAGCTATGGATGTTCTTTGGTGAAATTTGAAGTCTATTTTCTGTGAGCAATTGAAGTTGATTTTTGGCGCACTAATCTACCATCCTAGCTTGTGTGTGATAACTTTTCTGTTTTCTCTTTTTCCAGAAAAAAAAATGAGGTAAAACAAAATTGTAAGTAAAACTCCGTCTATGAAGGCTGCCGGTCTATAGTTATGGCATGTATTTTCTCCCTCTTGAAATATATACAGGTACAGCCTGTGCAGAAAGATAGTCTGCCTTTATAAATGGCTGACTTTTCTGTTCAGTTTATAGGTGGCCTTAAAAGACAGGTTGGCTGAAGTGCTCACTTGCAATTTATGAAACTACTGTTATTCCTAATTAAGTAATCTTCACAGCATGTAAATTCTTCATGTTTAATCAATGTTGGCAAAAACATTCGAAGAGAGTCACATTTACATTTACGCTTTGCTGAAATAATTGTCTATGCCATGTACATGTACACAGCTTGTGGATTCAGTGTGGTACAACGTATGCCTAGTGAAATTAGCTGCAGTAACATAATACATTTTCACCACATTTACAGTCGACACACCCAAGACAATTTGACTGTGTCTTCATCTATAATTCAACAGTAAATAATAAAGTGATCTGAACATTTCACACATTTCTCTTTGGTGTTTAAATGAGAACACACGACTATAATAAACAGGGCTAATAACTTGTTAAGATATATCACAACAAATAGAGAATTAAAGGACTGTATAGTTACGGTTAAAGATGCACACATTGCTACAGAT